TTCCCTCGTTCCCCGCAAATGGGGGAAATATCCAAAAAAATTACAAATTTAAAAATCGCTTATTTTCGAAATTTTTTCACTTTTTTTTCTTAAAACTTCCATAACTTTTTGAAAAATCAAAACATCAACATAATTTTTTTTTATACTAAAACCATAGATATTTACCTTTCATTTGATATCATTTTTTTGAAAATCTATCACTTAACCTGCTCATTAGGGGGGATTTAAAATGGCAACTTTTTTACAAAAATTAACTTTTTCTTCGAAATTTTTTCAATTTTTTTTAACTTAAAAATGCTATAACTTTTTTAAAAATGAACATATCGATATAATTTTTTTTTATATAGATGCATAATGCCCTTACCTATCACTTAAAATATTTTTTTTATAAATTTGACTTTTTACCTGCCTACAGGGGGGGATTCAAAATGACAACTTTTTCACAAAAAATTTACTTTTTCAACTTAAATTTTGAAAGTGTTCCGGAAAGTCTAACACTTTTATCTATATTTTAAATTAAAGCTAATGTAGTGTACTTTATTATACAAAAAAAAAATTTCGGACTTTATTTTGTCTTCAAGGTGAAAATAGTCACTGTATTCAACTAGCAGAACATGTAGTTTTTGGAATAATCCACCAATTTTTTAAAATTAAACACTATCTAAAGATTTGCATCGAATCGTTTTTGGAACAAATGCATTTTACCACCCCATCGAGTTTTTTCATTTTTTTTTTTTTTTAAACGTGTATTTTTCAATGCTTTTTTCAAAAGTGTTTGAAAAAATTGTCGGAAAAAATTGGTTCAAAAGTTATAGCTTTTTAAAGTTGAAACGTCAAAAACTAAAAATAGCTCAAACATTTTTTTTTTTTGTTAATTTTTTCTCATGATACTATTGTGAAACTATAATGACGTAATTATTACATAATATCCTCATTCTAAAAATCCTAAAACCAAAATTATCTTTAAAAATAAGGATTTTCCAAATTTTTTTTTCAAAACTACGCACATCAAATTTACGCAATACGAAATAAAAATAACAAGAAACTCAATTAATTCAATTTGAGGAAAAAAAAAAAAAAAAGACCACGATGTGGTGTTTTACATAGAATTGTTAATTCAATAAAATAAAAGTTTTTACTGTTTATTATGTACACCAATTAACACTTGTTGTAAAAAAAAAAAAAATACTATTACATTAGATATTGTTGATATTAGTTAAGTTGTTGAGGTATTAAAATATACTTACTAATACCTTAATGTTATAATGTTGAGTTATACAAACCCATTTAAATATAAGTTGTGGTCACCTACGCCTGCCGGCTCCGGTGACCGATTCGAGCCCCTTTGGGACTCTCATGGGATGGGAGCTCACGCCCCCAAACCCCCAGAGGATAGAAGTCAAGCCCAAACCCAACCTATTTAAACCCATTCGACTGAAATTCTCAGTGACCCAACAAGTATAAAACCTTGATGTTAAAATGGTGATATAATATTGAAAAAATAGATCAAAAAAAATTAAATTTATTTACTTCAACACTACCTTAACACGTTTAATGTACTCATAAATACTCTTAAATTTACTATTCCTCGGTAACTACATCATCGAGAATACTTTTTATAGTTAATTAATGAAAATTATCAAAAAAAAACAGCAGTATATAACAAAATTTGTATATGATTATTGAAATCTTTGAAAGCTCATAACTTTTAAACTAGACTTCGCCGACAAAAAATGTTTATATATTCTTAGTCGGTATGAAAAACTAAATTGATTTAAAAAAAAAAATTTGAAAAATCTCGATGGGGTGGTAAAATGCATTTAAGCCGCGTTTTTTTTTTTATAGTGATTTTAATCACTGTAAGATATTATTATACTTGATCCAACTATGCCACGTCACCACTGTGCTGCGACCCCCCTGTGCTGGGTTTTTTTTTAATGATGACAAAAATATTTTATCAACTTAAATATTAGAAATATTAGCAAATTGCTTATATGTTTGATCAAACTAATTAAATCAATATTGATAGCATTACTATCCAAGAAGACGCGCATTTCTTGTTAAAATGATTTTGCCTTATTTTTTAATCCACTTTAAAACTTCTTACATTGCTTTTTTCACTTTACTAAGTTTATTAAAACATTGCTCATTCTCGTAACATTTTACATTGTTTTGTTTTATATTTCTAACTTTCAAATTTGTTATGTTTACTGCACTCTATAGCTAGTGTATTTATAAAATCTGTTAATTTATTTTTTATTTTAATATATAATTAATTAATTAACTTAGCTTATTTGATTTTCTTCTCAAACTCAAGATTTGCTTAATATTAAACATTCCACTATTCCACTCTATTCGCTCAATAAACTTATTATAACTTAATATTTTTTATTGTCCAGTTTGAATAATCTAATTTTTAAGATAATTATTTTTAATTTGCAGAATAGACAAACAACTTAGTTCATTTATTTAGATAGATAAAATGTACAACTATATTGACTACTATAACATAAATTAAGAAATAAATAGTACTATATTAAGCAAAAAAAATTCAACAAAATTATTATTTTTGAAATTCAGTAGTAAATGATAAATCAGTCACATGTATATAATAATATATATATATATATATATTATGGAGAGTTCTTTTTAGAAGTTCAATTTGAATAAAGTTACAATTATATTTGGGTTCTCTACTGCCGTTAGTTTAAATAAAATTTTCAATTTTTGTATATCGAAACTTTTAAACCCAAACCTTACACATATATAAATTTTCACAAAAAGTAAATTAGTCATATAATGGAAAAATTTGATGAGAATTTCTTAATAATATTTTAGCCTGCAGCCTGTATTAAACTACATAATTTAATAACTTACTTTTATTTTAAAATGATAAATTTAACAGTAAAGTTCATCAACACACCTCAATTAATATTTGTTTAGTGAAATTCTATTGAATTAAAAATACATAATTAAAAGTAAATCTTACAACTTTTATTAATTATTAAGTAGATAATTAAATTACTTAAATATTTCACTCATATGCCACATTTTACTTATACTTATGGCAAATTAAAAATGCTCAATTTACAGATAAAACATGCTGCGTGTGAATATATCACTTAGAGAAATGATAACAATTAAACTGATATCAGGAGCAATTTTTGATAAGCGTGAACTACGAAAATAAATTATAAAAAGGCGGCAACGATTTAAATAGTAACAGAATTTATCTATAAAATTTAGTGCTATTACAGAGTAGATGATTTATCTTTTCTGTTGTTCTAGACCACATAATTTGACACATTTAAAAGTGATTAAAGTGGGCTATCAATTTAAAGGTGTTATTCTATGAACATTTTTTATCGCAGTGTAAATATACTAGGTTATAAAAAAAATTACAGTGAAAGTAGCAATGATTCAAAGTAGAGTTATCAATCAATGTGTACGACAGGATTCTAGATAAGTCCTATCTATAATCGTTGTGTAAGGTAAATAATCACATTTTGCAGTTAATGCTACTTTTATCAGAAATCTAAATTATCAAGTGAGTTACTAAAGTGAAAAATTATAATGAAAAATCACGTTTCAAAACTCACCCATAAAAATAATACACAAAAACTTTTCTATAATCAGCTTTTCACTATTTATAAAAATGTTAGAATTTAGAAGCNATTACTAAAGTGAAAAATTATAATGAAAAATCACGTTTCAAACAAAAACTCACCCATAAAAATAATACACAAAAACTTTTCTATAATCAGCTTTTCACTATTTATAAAAATGTTAGAATTTAGAAGCATTACCAAAGTTGATTTATCCATCTGGAGCATAACAGTAATCGATAAAATTTATTAAAAACATTGAGTTCACAATTCAGTATTATTTTATAAACGATTAACAGAAATTATTAATGCTATTTTGTGAATCACTGTGAAAAAAAACAATAACTTCAAGTAGGAAATTTAAAAGAATTTATTTAAGAAGTTAATTAATTTTTTTTAGTTCCAATACGAAGCGGAGAAGATTTTAATATGATATGCTATTTTACTTATATTTTGTGTGTATGTCACCCCTTATTTGACCGCCTTTACTGAATGTAGTATGTGTAGTATAGTTATGTAGAGTTTATTTATTTGTGTTAGTAAATATGTTGGCCCTCTCCCTTTTCTGCTCCCTTACAATTTTATTAACTTTAGTGTTTTAAATGAAACCATATATGTATAACTATCTTAAAAATAAGAAAATAATCGGTCATTAACAAATTTTGAACCAGTATTAAAGAAGTGATTATTATTGGGAAAACCGAAAATAGGAAGATTAATACTTAACTATTATGATAGAAAGTGAAGCGCGGACATGTTTATTTTTAATTCTAGGTATTTATGAAACCGCATTATTCTCCAGTCATAGTAAAAATAGTTCTAATATCTTTTATAATTTCATTAAAAACACTAAATTTGATCAAATTTAACGGGATAGCTAAAATTATTGAGTCCCGGCTCAATCTTAAAAAAAATATGTTGTTCAAATAACACAGTTACCACATTCTATAATTTAGGTAGTATGACAATATTAGAATAATGTTGATAACACTGCAACATACAGTGGAAACTAACCTAAAATAATAATTTTGTTAGAATTAATATGAAATGCAGTACTATGTTATACTTACTATACCAATTGATCTTATTTATAATTGTGTGAAGTGTTTACAGTTGTATATCTGTTTGTTTCACTGAAATCACGATATAATATGGCAGTTGAAAAGTAAGATTTTTATCCATATTAATCCAAACTTCAAATTATTGGTTTTTAAAGTTATTATATTAAAATTAAAATTTATTATCTTGAAATATTATTTTAATAATTATTCAAACTGTTAATTTGGTTAAATTTTTATTTATATTTGTTAAATTACACTCGTAACTTCAATGAGAGTATCCATATAAATTGAATTTACTGGATTAGATTTTATTTTCATTTATATATCATCGTTAAGATCACATACGCTATATTGCTAAACTTGATTTTTAATTATACGTTTAAGTATTGATTTGGGATTTTTACTTCTTGTTGCTACCAACCTCTCAAACAAATTTTGAACAATGATTTTGCAACCTATTAGATTAATTTATCCACTCCCTAATTTTTTTTAACTTTTAAAGTTTACTGATTGTTTTACTTAGCCTTATTTGTTAGGGAATGAAGCTGTAAAAGTTAATAACTTTCTTGTATTTTTAAACAACTTAACTCAATTTTTGTTTAATAGATAATTTTTATTCTTATTTGTTTTTCAGCACACCTAAAAGACTACCGGCAGTGCCGGAGTCCGTTCTCAAGAGAAGAAAGGCGCGTACAGCTTTTAAACTCAAGCAGTTAAAAAAAGCAATTGAAGTATTAACACCATATTTAATTTTATTTGTTCAACTTAATTGAAAAAACTACTTATTTAATAATTATAATAGTGTACCATTAACTATTATTGATTAATACTATTGAGAATTTAATAAAATAATATTAAATGTTTTTTTAAGGAACGTAAAGAACGTGTAAAGAAAACTAAGAAGTATTTTAAACGAGCTGAGGCTTATGTTAAAGAATTTCGAATGAAGGAAAGAGATGAAATACGTTTGGCAAGAAATGCTAAAAAGGCAGGTGATTATTACATTCCACCTGAACCTAAATTAGCATTCATAATTCGTATTCGAGGGTAAGAATTTTATCATAACTTAACAGAACTATTTTTAATTTTGAAACTTATTTTTAGTGTTAATCAAGTAGCTCCAAAAGTCAAAAAGGTATTACAGTTATTCAGATTGCGTCAAATTAATAATGGGATTTTTATCAAGTTGAATAAAGTAAGAAAACTATTTTTTATTGTTTTATTGTTAATAATTGATTATATATACTTATAGGCTACATTAAATATGTTGAGAATTTGTGAACCGTATGTTACATGGGGGTACCCCAATTTGAAGAGTGTTCGAGAATTGATTTACAAACGAGGATTTGCTAAGTTAAATGGACAACGTATTCCAATAACAAATAATGAAATGATTGAAAAGAAATTGGGCAAATATGGTATTATCTGTACTGAAGATTTAGTTCATTGTATCTACAGGGCAGACCGTCGTTTCAAATATGCAATGAATTATCTTTGGCCATTCAAAGTAATTAATTTAATTACATTATAATGTTAATAAATTCTCCTATTAAGAAATTTTATACTTATTAATAAGAATAATTTGATAATACTGATAGTGAATTCAATATATCAAATTAACATTTTATTTATTTATATAATATATTAAAAATAATTTTTAATGTTAGAATAATATTCTTAGATATGTAAATAATTTGTTTCTTTTTAAATTTATCCAATAACTTCTCATTCAGATATTTTGCTAGATAATATTAAAAGTAATTAAAAATTCTAGATTAAAAAATATTTCTATTATTTAAATGTAACCAAAATATTATTTCATGATCAAATAACTTCTAAAACATTAATTTTATCAAATTTTAACTTCATAAAATAACTTTTTTGATATTGCTTATTAGTATAAATTTGACTATATTTTAAAAGTTCATTTTTCTTATTTTTGCATTAAAATTGATAAAAATAAATTTAATATAATATTAAGCCAGAAATTTAATTTAGGTACAGAGTAATTTTAGCAATAGAGTCTTTAAATAATTAGTCATTATACAAGAATATATGTTCAAACAATTTTTATTTCTTAAATTTATTAATTTTTATAGCTAAGTTCCTTTTTTTGCTAATAATTGTCATGTGCTATTGAAAATGTTTTATTTATTTAAGAAAAATATTAAATGTATCATATCCAAAGAAATTAGTGTGGCACATCCATGGTGACATCTATTAATTTGAGTTGTTACACCTTCCATATTGCCAAAGATAAACAAATAAATTAAATGATGTTTTATTGTTATTATAAAATATTCAATTAATTTTATATACATTTTATTTTTTTTTTTTTAGATTGTTAATGTCTGCTACATGATTAGTTCAATTAATTTGATTTCTTTTTTTAGTTAAACACTCCTACTGGTGGATGGCGTAAGAAAACTAACCATTATGTTGAAGGTGGTGACTTTGGAAATCGTGAAGATACCATTAACAAATTGTTAAGGAAAATGGTTTAATTAAAAACATGTTACATACTAAAACATTTGACTTTATTTTATTTTTATAAAATTGTTTTGCTACAACTCCGAGTATATTCATTGATATTTATAGAATATCATCTTATTTTACAAATTCCAAGATGATTCTTAATTTTCATTTAAATCCTTATTTTTTAAAGTTTCCAATGTTTTTTATATTGATTAAAATTACTGGAGTATTAATTCTATTAATAAAACATTTTGTTATACTGGTCAACCGGATCTTTAAAGTATAATTATATGACTTCCTTTTTTAAAATCAATTTGAAGCTGAAAAGATATTAATTATGTAACATACTTTAATTGAAAAAATAATTTAACCTTTGGATTTGTCTTCATACTGAAAATGGCTACCGTATACAAAAGTATGCCATTTTTGTGCTAAAATACTCTATTTCATTTTTTGATTTTGTATTTCTATAACATCTTTATATTAAAATACCTTACAATTGTTTTCCATAGTAATAAGTCCTTCGATTTTTATAAAAATTGCATGAATCTAATCTAAATTAATTATACATTTAAACTTATTTTGAATATACGCATGATGTACAGTTGTCAAGTCACATGTCAGTATTCATGCTCTGGGTATGACATCTGAATCTGTCTTTTCAATCGATTTTTTCTTAGTTTTTTTTAAGGTGGAAGAAAATTTATTTGATTTTTATCTCATTTAGATTGAATAACTGCAATTAGTCTTTTTTTTCATCACCTCTTTCTGACAGTATTACTAACTTATAAAAACGAGTATATACATTTAAAAATTGATTTTTATTTTTAATGTATTAAAAAAAGTTGAATAATTAATGTACATTTTGAAGCTCATGGAAATTCCTTGTAAAACCTTTAATTCATAAATAACAACAAATTATTTTCTGAAAAATTTTGTATCAAGCCCTTCAATTTTATACATGTTTTTCATAAAGGTAATAACTACTTCATTATTTTTTATAAATTCTCCGAATTACAATACTAAATTATTTAATATTAATTTCATACTATATTTAATTGCTATAATATATATATATATTTATTCACATATATTTCTAAATCAAAAAACAATTAATCAAGTACTACAATTGGTAGTATAATTGCCAATTTCTTAAAATTAAACGCTACAGATTTACATCAAAGCGTTTTTTATAGTGAGTTTAATCATTGTAAAATATCTATATTTGTTCTATCTATGTTATGTCTATACTGTGTTACCGTTTTTTAATTTAAAACTTGTCAAATAACAATATATAATTTTTGAGATTTTATTAAGATTGAGTATGACCAATTCTTGACCGAGTGCCTCTTTAAGTACTAAAATAATTTGTAACTAGTTTTCTTAAATTTTAATAACTGAAAATTATATTTTATCAACTTCTAGTATTGTGTATGCTTAAATGTACATAATGTTAAATTTTTAATTGGCAAAATATTTCTTCGAAAATTGAGGTAATTTGTTGTTGATAAAAGGTTTAATTTATATAGTAATTTGAAACTGTTGCTTGTTTATGTACACATTTTTCTTTCTATATCTGGTCAATTTAAATTTCAACTATTAAAATAAATAGAAAAAAGTATTCATTACTGAAAACATTTTAAATTACATCTTTGTGGTAGAATAAAAACCAAGAGAAATATTAGAGTTATACTTGTTTTTATATACTCTTATCTGATTAGTAATTTAGAACATTCTATAACTGAAGTTAAAATTACCTTAAATGATAAATATTTCTAACAAAATGTTTATTCTTGAAAGAATTTTATTATTCAAAAAGAAGCTATTTAAGAGTTATCAAAAAATATTAATTTATTATTAATTAAATTTTGTTTTTTACTTATACTACAAAAGCACAACTTCGATATGTGCCTAATATTGAAAAATGTTTTCCAACATCATTTATATATATCGTTAGTTACAATAACCCCTTTGCCATCATGAATCATTTTTCCTAATGTGTACGTAATTTTATGAAAATTTAAGGGTTACAGTTTGTTTTAATTTATCTGGAAGATTATTGTCGTTTTTGACACTCGCTGATGAAAAACTTTGTATTTTCTGATATAATTTTAAATGAGGTATAACCCAGTTAGTAAGGAAAAGATAATAAATACAATTAACTAGATGTCAAAATAAATTTATTGGGCGACGTTAGTGTCATATAGTAGTTAATTAGTGTAAGATTCACAACTATGATCAGTGGCGTGCCTAGGAATTTTAAATGGGAAGGGATGTCATAACTAATAGGTATTAATACAACTAAACACATTTAATGGGGGTGAAAGAATTAGAAAAAGATTATAAAGGGGGCTTTAGAGGTCAAGCCTCATTAAAATATTTATTAATATTTTGTGTTTTGTATGATATGATATAATGTTGTTATACAAATATACAATGTAACAATTACAACTTTATTCAATTATTGCTGTTAGGTACTCGATGCTAAAAAAACCAACTGGGGAGGGATATGACACCTAACCTCCCCCCTGGGCACGCCACTGCCTATGATTATGTATTATACATATTTTTTTAGTGAAATATCTGATAGGGTGAAAATTACAATTACCGTTTGCCGTTCAAGTACTTTTAAATATTAATAATTAATATTATATGCAACTACTTTTTATAAATCTTTACACTAGCTTAAAAAATGCACTGATTACACAATCAATAGAAAAGGTCGGAGACTTCATGTCCCCCGATTACGCCTCTAACTTTAAAACATTCATTATTAATTTTATGAACAATATTTTCAAAATTGAAAGATACAGGGAAAATGGTAAAAGTCCATTTTTTCGATTTTGATTTTATAGCCCATTCGCAGTAATATCAAGTAATGAAATTTATTCAATGAAAATTGTTTTCATTTTTTTAATATTTAAGTGTATTTTTGTTTTACTACTAAAAAAATAGAAATTTATAATCTTATTGCTTCGTTGAAAAATATATAGAAATGGAAAATTGCCTTTGTACCCTTCAATTATTTTAGAAAATTTGTTGAATAGACATTTCATAGACAATTATTTACTTGGAATTTTTTTGAAAAGAAATCGTTTACATTTTTATAAAAATAAATGGTGCCATATAAGTCCCAAGGTTTATAAATTATAATTTATAAACCTTGAGTAAACTCAATTTTCATACAGTATTATTGTTATATGACTGTTTTCTGGTTATATAGATGTGGAGTTGGGAGATATGTTGTCTATAAAAAGTTAATAAGTAGTATAAAATACTAGATTTTGTAAAAAAAGTCATAATAGATTTATTATTATTAAAAATAAAAGCTTGAGATGCATATCAACTAAATAATTTTGATTAATAAGATATGTCTGTTACTATATTTACAACTTTCAATATTTAAATATTTTAACAAAAATTTGTTTTAATGTAACCGTTTATTATAATTATTCGATTAATTAACTTTCCAGATAGTAACATTATACTTTCATATAGTCTGTGGTAGTAGTGTAAATATCTTTATCTACAAAATGATAAGATTTTATGTGAATTCATAAATAATATTTTTATATAAATGAGTGAAAATTATTTGATGTGATACAAAGATTAAGCTATAAATTACGAGTATCCCTTAAAATGTGTACATATCTATTGTTTAGCTCATTTTGAGTTAATCAAAGATTTAAGAATCGAATATTTTTAATTGATAACTTTTTAGCAAGAAATTATGATCGTAAATCATTTTTATTGTTGAAACTATAAAATTTCAGAGGTTTTTAAACATGTAATTTTTATAAACAAAACTAAATTAAAATGAGTACTCTACATAAGAATTGCCTTAATCAGCCTGGACGAAAGAAAGTTCAAGTATGTAGAGTTATATTTATGCTCCATTTTATAAGTATTGAAACTTAGACTGATGTTTTGTTAGATATCATTTGTTATTCGTGATGAAGAAGAACGTAGACATCGAGCTGGTGTTAATTCTTTACAATTAGATGCTAAACAAGGAATATTATATTCCGCAGGACGTGATAGTATTATTCGACAATGGGATGTTCGTGATAATGTTGAAGCAAAATATTTACGTTCACTTGAACACCACACAGATTGGGTGAATGATATTATATTATGCTGTGGAGGAAACTATTGTAAGTTAAATAAATTTCTCTAATTTAATAATTTAATGAAGTTTAAAAAAATTAATTTGTCCCAATGACTTACTTTTTCTATGTGTTAACAACCTCTGAAGTTAAACAAAAATGCTGTTTTTTGTGTTGTCTTTTTTTTTCAAATATTATTGCCTATATTAAATACCAAATAGTTCAGACATAATAGGGAAGTTATTACCGATTTTTAAAAAAGCTTCCTATTAAGAAAAAATCAAATAAAATTTTAGTGTTGTTAATTATAAATATTTTTGCATAGGGTTTCTTCATATATTTTTGTCCATTTAACAAGTATATTAAAGGGATGCTTTAAGGATTTTATTAGAAATATTTTCTAGCCACTAATCCCTTAATATCAATTAACTTAGGACAAAATAGTCCAATTTTCTTTAAATACTATAGCATGGAAGCATTTTATGATAGTGATTTTAACAGATTCTAATTTTCAATAGTTCTCTTTATGCCAGAGCCAACTGTACTGTGTTTTTCTTTGAAATCAAGAAATGTCTTTTAAAAATTATTCGTATAAAAAATAAAATTATTAAAACATTTCAAGGTACTTATGAAAATCATTAATCAATTCAATACCTTTTACACATTTTTCACAGCTTATAAAACTGTAAATAGGTTTTTTAATCTTTTTTTTATATAAATATTACAGTGATATCAGCTAGCTCAGATACTACTGTTAAATTATGGGGATTGCGAAAAGAAAATACATGTTTATCAACATTACGAACTCATAAAGATTATGTGAGAGCTTTAGCATATGCTCGTGATAAAGAAGTAGTTGCATCTGCAGGGCTTGATAAAACTATTTTTTTGTGGGATGTCAACATGTTAACAACTTTAACCACAACAAACAATACAGTTACAAGTAATTATTTCATCTATAAAAGTTTTTGTCTTTTAATTCTTAAAAAAATTTAAGATACTTTATTATGCTTAGAAATTATTTAAAAAAAAAAATTTATTAATAAATAAATATATTAATTAGTAATTATGCTCACTAGTAATCAATAATATTTGTTATAATTCTAAGTATACATTTTAACTCAAAATTAACTTTGATAATTAATTTTTGTTGATTTTTTAAGCTGCTTCATTACCTGGTAGTAAAAATTCAATATACAGTTTAGCAATGAATAATAGTGGCACTGTTTTAATAAGTGGTAGTACAGAAAAAGTATTACGAGTATGGGATACAAGGACTAGTGATTGTATGATGAAACTAATTGGACATACTGATAATGTTAAAGCTCTAGTAGTAAGCAAAGATGGCACTCAATGTTTATCTGGAAGTTCTGATGGAACTATTAAGCTTTGGTCTCTTGGTCAACAACAATGTATACAAACTTTAAGAATTCATAAAGAAGGTGTTTGGGCACTGGCTGTAAGTAATAATTTTACATCATTTTGCTACAAATTATAATCTTATGTTAGGCGACAGAGAACTTTTCACATGTGATATCTGGAGGAAGAGATAAAAAAGTTTATTTATCTGACTTGAAAAATCCCAACAAAATTCAACTTATTTGTAATGAAGATGCTCCAGTAATAAAAATGGTTACCACAATAGATATGAATGCTGTTTGGATAGCTACATCTGAATCAACAATCCACTGTTGGGTAATTTAAAGTAGACATTTTTATTATAAATACTAGAAATTAGATAAAGAACTCATTAATAGTGAAATAATTTTTTTTCTATTATATCCTATGAATTTTTTTTTTTAAATAAATACTCGAATTAGATATTCATTGGTTAACAATTAATATATTAACTAAAAAAAATAACAATATGACGGTTTTTAACATTTAAAACAAATAATTTTTCTCTTTGTTTCCCACTATAAATTTGTATTTTTTTGTTTATGTATATTTGCTGCAAAAATATGATTACAATTATGTAAGTATTTAGGTAACTAATAATATAAATTTTAATAATATTTTAGAAGCTAAAAAAAACTGACGAATCTGCTGATTTAGATGATGTACCAACAGTACCTTATAATACTGAACCTTATAGAAAATTACAAGGATCAGCTGCTATAAGAAAATATCATGTGCTAAATGACAAAAGAACAATACTTACACTTGATACAGAAAAGAATGTTGCAATTTATGATGTTCTCAAGGTTTATTAATTTAATTTATCATATTTTATTATCAAAAGAACATTTTATAACTTTATTTTCATAAAATTATGTAATCTTTTTTTACTTCAAAACATTTTTATTACAAACTATTTCTAATGAGATGCACTAATATAAAAAAATATATGTATTAATTTAAATTATCTTTCCTCATTTCTAAAAAATATAAACCATATTTATTTTATAAAAGTAAATGTATCGACTGTAAATTGTTGAAATTCCAAATTAATTCATAATTTTTTTATTAAGCTTTTACAGCTTATTAAAGGCCATTACAATCTCTCCAAAAAGAAGATTCTTGTTCATTAAAATTAGGGGATTACCATTCAATGTCATTGTCCATTCATTTTTTCCTCTTTTGACATTATGAGGCAAAGCTTAAATTACCGTTGAACATTACATGAGTACAGTCAACCATTCTTCATTCAATGATACTTTTAATGATACTCAAATCCATTATCAGAAAAAGAGACTCTAATTTTTGTGTTAATTATATAAAAAAAATGATTAAATAGAAGTTGAAAAAAAGTAATTTTAAATTGCAAATAAATACATTTATTTTATTTTTTGCAGGCTTCCAAGTTACAAGATTTAGGACAGGTAGATTTTGAAGAAGAAATTAAAAAAAGGCATCGTGTAATCTACATACCAAATTGGTTCAGTGTTGATTTGAAAACAGGAGTACGACATTATTTATACTCATTAATAATATTGTATAATTAGATTTTTTTATTGATATAAATTAAATATATATATATATATATATATTTCTTTTTAATGATAGTACCCATAGAAAAAGTGCAATGTATAAAGAATTGCTTTAAAAAATTATTTCTTATAATACATAAGAAATAATTTTAATATTTAATTTTAAAAGAAAAAAACATAATTTTTTTATATAGTTATTTGATAAACCAAAAAAAAATTTCTGTATATTTACACCAATATTTATGTATTATATGTAATAATAAAATTTATTTTTAATTAGATGCTTACAATACATTTAGGACAAGATGAAAATGATTGTTTTGCTGCTTGGGTATCAGCTAAAGAAGCTGGTATTAATGTCGCAGATGATAATTTAAAAGGTTTAATTTATAAATGTCTTGTATATTTAAATTGGTGAATTATAATAATTATTAATTTTGTTTTAGTCAATTATGGTAATCGTATGTTACGATCTTTGTTGGAAAATTGGTTAAATCGTATTCAAACTGACTCAGCTGAAGGGTTGCAAACAACTGAATTAAATGCACAATCTAGACTTGATTTTCAATGTTGTCAAATACCTTCACATACACCACTTATGATTAATGAAGTAGGAGGACGGTGTTTGTACAGAATGCTTATTAGTCAAGCAGGAGATGAAAATGATGTTTCGATTTTAAATGAAACAATTCCTGCGTGGGTTATGAATGTCATTGTTGAAAAAACACTGCCTAAAGCTCTCAAAATATCATTTTATCTAGTGCCACAGTCAAACACGTGTATAAGGCCTGTTAAAAAGTATGATTATATTTCTTTTTAAATACAATAGAGCACTTATGCATATGATGACAAAGAATTATAAACAGTGCAAAAAAAAAGTGTACTTAGCAATATGACGATAACTTCCTCAAAGAAATCAATTTCTGTCAGATAAATTGAGGTCATGTGCCAACATTAATAGTTTTACAATATTAAATATTTGAATAAAATATAAAAAAGATTTAATTAAGCTTTCTAAAAGTATTGTTTTTAAAAACAAAATCTATTAAAACATAAAATTATTAAAACATATTTATTTTATGTATTTTTATATAAATATTTACAAACTTTAGTAGATTAACAATGGTAAATACTATTAAAATCATAACTTATCCATTATAAGATGATCAAATTATAATAATGCCCTGTATTAAATTTTAAGTTACAAAAACTTTGAAGACTTAAAATTATTAATATCTGCCAAATTTTGCTGAGCAAAGTTAATTACCATTAAAACAAATGGGTTGCTGGGTTTTTATGAAGTTATTCCACATAAAAATGTAAGTTTTCTTTCCCTGTTTAAATTTTTTTAAGAAGTAACAGCTAATAAAACAAATAATTAGAATACACAGTTGTCAGTTAATATTTTTAATTAGGAGTTATATTGACTTTGTTTACGAATAAATGTATTCTTATTTAATTTTGTACACTTTTCTAGTGGTACTCTTCGACCAAGCAGAGATCGCTTAGTTGCTAATGATTTTATTCAAGTTCAAAAAATAGCTGAATATATTCATGAAAAATTATCTGAAAATGATAACAATGGACCTTATAATAAAACATCAGACTGTATAAATAATCATTTACAAGGAAACACACCAGAAAAAATTTTTGAACTCAGTTGTAATGATCAAGTTCTTTCGCCATCAATGGATTTAAGAACTGTCAAACATTTTATTTGGAAATCTTCAGCAGACTTAACAATTTATTTTAAGGCAATACATTAAGTTTGTGTAGTAAAATTTATACTATTTTAGTTGATAATTATAGTCTTCAATTTCTTTACTTTATGATATTGTTTATATATTAAATACTTATGTCTGTTTATTTGTACAAAAATTTATTCCTTTTATTATCTTATTTTACAAACTTTTTAACTCAGGTAATGAAATATCAACAAATTCATTAAAATATAAATTTGTGTAAAAATGTTTTTTGTTCAAGCAATACACAAGTACAAAGTACAATTATTTAAGTAGTTAAAAATTTAATTACTATAACTTAAAGAGCATGATTTCCTTTATTCTATTAAGTAATATATATTGTAAAATTTAGATGAACAATTTAGAATGTTAGCACTTTAGATTATACAATTTTTATTTATTTATTTGTAAACCTGTTAACTATAAATAAAATTTTAATTTAAATTGTAATATTGTATATATCCATGTTTATTATGAATAAATAATGATTAAAAAACATTCAATTGATTTGCATAAATTTAAAAAAACACTAAAATTATGCTGATTACTTAAAAATATAAATATTTGTCTTAATTTTGTATTTAGTAAAATATACAGTTTGAGTATAACATTAATATGACTTCAGATGAAAATTTAATAGTGGAAAACTACTCTTTCAAACAATTCTAACAAGTTACAAATAGTTCTTTTTTTTAGAGAAAGAAAATTTTTAAAAACTTTGTCATAATTATATTCTTCTTTTAAGAAGAAAATTAAGTCAAAATAATTCTAAAAATTAAGTTGAAATGACATTTTTAATAATTCTATGACAGTAATGCAACTTAAGTTTCCCTTTAAAGAATTCTCCGGCACTAGGAAACCAATGATATTATGTTATTTTGCTCTTTAGTAGAATTTAATCAAGTAAATATGATTCAAGGTAACAATATTACAGTAAAAAAATTATAATATTTGTATAAGTTTATATATTATTTTACTAACATTTTAAGATTTATTTTATAGCAAAATGGTATAATCTGATATTTATATTTAAAAGTATAACAATTTACAAATAAATTGGCCACATATGTAACAATTTTAAAGTCTATAGTGTTAATATTTTAATAATTATGCATATTAAGTTGTAATGTTTCTTTAGTTTTAACTTTAGATTTCTCAAAATATAAAATAGAATATTGAATATCTGTGCCTACATTTTGAGCTATAACCATTTTTTTGTTTGTAATTGAACCAATTCTACTTCCACATATTATACTTTGAAAATCCATATTATTGCAGTTAACAATATATTGAGCATGGTAAGTAAGTGGATCTCCTAAATTAATATAAAATATTACATTAAATAAATATTATGTCATAAATTATTAGTCCTACATTTTTATTATAAATTAAGTTAGTGGAGTAACAATAAGTTCATAAATTTAGAAAACTATTTTTTTAGATTATATTTTACTCTTGTATTTCAAAATCAGTATACCACCTAGAAATTTAACATTATATGAACAATAGACTTAGCAGCAAATATATGAACCTAAACATAAAAGAAAAAACAACAACAGGAAGTCTAGCAATGAAAGTATGGTTGAGGTACAATAGGTAAAAATTAATTATTTTTTATTTGGATATTTTATAACAGTAAGTTCATGGAGATCATGGAAATTTTTTGATGAAATTAAAAATAATTATACAAAAACTAATTTACTTCAACTTAATTAGCAAATATATTGTATACAAAAATTATTAATATATTGATAAAAAATTTTTCTATGTAAAATGATGTACTCATAAAAAGAAAATTTAAAAGCTATATATGTATGAAACTTTTTTATACTTATTCTATGACAAAGAATTATTACTCAGTTTAATTTACATTAAAATATAAATTTCCTTAAGATAAAAATACCTAGTTAAAAGTGTAGTTCAAATATTAGAGAATAATTAAGCTTTCTAAAAGTATTGTTTTTAAAAACAAAATCCATTAAAACATAAAATTATTAGAATATATTTATTTTATGTATTTTAATATAAATATTTACAAACTTTAGTAGATTAACAATGGTAAATACTATAAAGCCATAACTTATCACAATATAAGATATCAAATTATAATAATACTCTGTATTAAATTTTAAGTTCCAAAAACTTTGAAGACTACAGCTGACCAATAATTGAGGTCTGCATATGTATTTGTTTCTTACCATTATAAACTAAAAAGTCTCCACCAAATTTAATACCACATGTAAGATAGAATCCTTTAGTCCACAAATCTTTAAAGACTTTGTATCTTAACTTTTCATGGTCTGTTTTAATTTCTGGTAGTTCAGCATTTGTGGCTTCTAATCCTTCATTATCAACTAAAAGTGTTAAAAGATATTATGACGTTTAAAAAGTTGAGTACATGATACTATTTTCTTTAATAAAATAATTGACTAACATAAATGAATTAATACTTTAGATGATGCATCATATGGTTTAATATTAGAAATTTCTCTTTTTAACTTAACAATTTTTTCACCATTTTTATCATAATCATCACATAATATAACTGACTTCACAAGTTCGCTTATCATATGAGCCTTATTTTCTGCATATATTTTTCTAATTTCAAAATTATCAAGTTCTTCCTGAACTTTTATTTCCTCTTTATTAAAAATTTTAGATGAATATTTAACTATTCGTCCAATGGAATTCTCAACTATTATTCTAGCTTCTTCTGGCATTAATAAAGAAGGGAGACCATTTTGTTCTTCTTGACGTGGTGTAGATGAAAGGGAACCAACCAAGTTACCCAATATACGATACTTTGATCTCAAAATATACCAATCTACAAAAATAGTCAATTAATTTTTTATTAGAAGTAAAAATAAATAAAAATACTGTTAACATACTGTATAGAACTGGCACATTTTTATTAATTGAATGAAAACTTATTAAAAGGCAACTTAATGCATATTATTTTAGTGTAACAAAGAATTTAAAATTTTTATATTAACGAACAGGAATTTTAGACATTCAATAATTTTGATATAGTACTGTTTCAATGAAAAAAAAAAATTAGTTTAACAGGCAGATAAAAATAGATAAATATTCTTTAAAAAATATTAATATTTAAAATTTAGCAAATTACAATTTATGCAGATAAAACAATTTAACTTTAAGTATATTTTAATACTAATTAAATATTATGATAAGTATTTTAATTTTAAGTTATAATAAAGTTTAATTAAAATAAAAATATTTTTATTCAATATTAGGTGTTAATAATACTCCAAAAATATATACTTGAAAATTATATATAAAAAAAATTAATTTAAGAATGAATAATGGTGAACATTTTAACACTAAGAGTATATACTGTAGATTAATCACAAACAGAATTACATAAATACAAGGGTACTAACCATTTGGAGACCAAATGAAAAATTTACCATTTATCAAATGTATTGAAATATATTCACTTTTCTTGCTATTTGTTAAACTCATAGCTTTTACAGGATATAAACAAATATTTCATTAAAATACTAATAGATTTCTAAATTTAAAAGTTCACATTATAACAGAAAACATTTCTATTTGAATACAAATTATTATTAATATTTGAATATTTTCTTATTTAGAATTTAAAATCTTCTCGAAAAATACACAATAAAATAATCCATGAAAATGTTTTAAACAATAGTAATAAAATAATTTAGACTTCTTTTACAGATCTACCTTAAGCTCATTCTATCAACATTGGAAGATGATATTATCTATATTGATAATATAGTTATAAGATAAGGAGTGCAAATTATTATTATTATTTCTCCTTTATATTTAATTTATTGTTTGAATAATACCAGAAACATAAATTATAGTAACTCAAATATTTTGTTTATTATCAATATCTATAATTCTATCACACATTCAAATTTAAGACACGTATTATTTTGCATATTTATCATAGTTATATATTTTAAGTATAATTTATACAAAGGATAATTACAAAAAATCAAAAATTTTCATTTAATTTTTTATTATGGAACCACAGTATAACAACAAAAGTACAGGTAAACATTTTTATTATTATTAAATAATAACATCCTAAATTAATACTTTTATTGGTAATATAATTTTTATTTTTAATTTGTCTTAAATAAATTGATAAAAAAAAAAGGCAATTATAAATTTACTTTTTCAATTTTATCTAAAATTTTAATGAATAGTAATGAAGTCCTGCAACTACGGCTCTTGCTTAGTACCATATTGTAGTATCATATGCAACATAAGTGATAAAAAAGGTCATTTAACAATTTTATATTGGGTTTGTGTCTAATGGTTTTAATTAACCTAGGGTCGTATAAATCATATACTGAAATTACTTTAATAGATACATCTTAGTGTAAAATATTAATCGTTCATAACATAAGTAATTATAAAATATATGAAAATTTCATTTTTCTTTATTATAAAATTATAGTATTAATAATGTAGTGAGTTGTGATAATTACGTGAAATAAAATTTATTATAAAGAATTAAAGTTGAGAATTATTTTATTGGTTATTAATATATTATTTTAGCTGTGAAACGTTTAATGAGAGAAGCAATTGAACTCTCACAACCTACTGATGAATACAGTGCACATCCATTGGAAGACAATTTGTTTGAATGGCACTTTACCATGAGAGGACCACAATCTTCTGAGTTTGAAGGGGGGATTTATCATGGTAGAATTTTATTACCATCAGAATATCCAATGAAACCACCTAATATTATATTACTTACTGTATGTATAATAATTATTAATATCATATAAGAATAATTATGTAATAATAAAAAATTATATATATAAAGCCTAATGGAAGATGGGAAACAAATAAAAAAATATGTCTAAGTATATCTAGTCATCACCCTGAAACTTGGCAACCATCTTGGTCAATAAGAACAGCTCTATTAGCATTGATAGCTTTTATGCCTACAAATGGACGTGGAACATTAGGATCACTTGAGTATACCCCAGAAGAGCGTCAAAATTTGGCAAAAAAGTATGTCTCTACCCATCAAAAACTAAGGAATGAATTTAAAAATACATAATTGATCAATAGAAAAAAACATAAAACAAAATGAAACCAATAAATTTCTCAATTTTTGTTTAATTTATATTTATATTTTTTGAATAGATAAGTGGTTCACAATAATAGAATCACCTTATGTATATACAGAGTGGTCTAACATGTAAACTTTTGATTAATTTAATTTCTGTACATCAGAAATAGATTAACACACATCCAAAAATTATGATTTTCAAGGTTATTACATTTTTGTATGCAAAATTTAAGTTTATATAGGTTTTTGTCAACAGTATATTGTTACGATGACTTTTCCATATTTTATTTGAGTTTAAATCCTAATTTAAGTTAACACAAGAAATGTAAAAAAAAAAAAAAAAATTAAAAATAGCCATTTTATATAACAAATTCTGAAAAAAAGTTTCATAATAGTGCAGTGCTTAAATTTCTATAGTGTTTTAAAATGTATAAAAACTGTCAATTATTATGTGTTCATTTATTTAAGAAAATGCATATTTTTGACTCTAAATATTGTTTATAGGATTAAAATGTTTCCATAAAAATTATTGTCGCTTGAATAATTCTAATAATTAAACTGAAAAGAAAACTAATAATAATATTATCTATGCAATCATAAGATCTTTTTTGATTGTGTTCTTTTTTGTCTTTGTCTTTACAACATAGACTAATGCTTAATACTATAAATTAACACAATATAAACATAAAATATATAAATTATGATATTATTAAAGTCTATAAGTATAAAAATTATGTAAAAACAAAAGTATTACAAAATATGGACAAGATCAAAAGTCTATATAGAGAATTGTGTACCACCAGACTTTCATATAGAGTTATTTAATAACTTTTGATCCAGCAAATATTTTGTGTTACCTTTATATATATATATATATATATATATATATATATAATTTATACAATTAAAAACAATTATTTTCAAAAAATTAATGTAAAATATTTGCTGGATCAAAAGTTATTAAAAATATGATAACCTGGTGGAACACCTGTATATGTTCTATATTTTAATGCAACTTTTTTTAATAATTAAAATACAAATTACAAATTTTGAATTATTATTATATGTTAAAATTGCTATGTAATATCAGTAAAACTTCTATATAATTAACTTCCATTTAACAAAATATTTTTGAGAACCAAAAGTTCCATAGTTAATCATGTATTAATTTATCTTTGAATAACAAATAAATTATTCAATAATAAACCTGTTTTTGTAAATATTGTCACTATCAATTATAAATTTTAGCTTTAAATAACATAGTTTTATTGTATCTGATAAAGATAAAATATTAATTGGGAAACCGGTTAATTTTACTGCAATACTACAATTCCAATATTGATGTAAGCATCATTTATTCTATACACACAAAAAAAAAAAAAATGTTGAAACGTAAATGTTTATCAATTATTGATAAATTTTAGATTAAGTCAAAAAAGGTGTTAAAAAAAAATACATTGCCAAAAAATATGGTATTCTGATAAGTTCTCTTACAACCAAATATTCCCAATAACATTTTATTTAACTTAAAAAATCGAAACTTTTTACAAAAAAGTACTCTTTATATAAATAATAATCAAATTATTAATTTAAATTAATTATTTAAAAGTTGACCTAATATGTATGACATATTATTTGATGTTTTATTTAATATAATACAGAATATTAATGTAATGCAGTTATATATAAAAATCTGTAATTTTATTTAACAAATTTCTCTATATCACAAATTTTGTTTTATTCCCTATGAAAATTCATTGTATAAAAGTTTTACTGTACTATGTTTAAATTTTTTGAATCAAATAAATATATAGTAAATTTAGTCTTGTTTCAGATCTAAAACTTGGGATTGTGAAAATTGTGGTAAAATATCTAATTTATTAGCTGAAAATAAGGCTAAACCTATAACTAAAGAAGAAAGTGAACTTATAAGTAATTTGTTGTTTAAGGTATAAAAAAAACTAATTGTTACAAATTGTTTTTTCATTAAATATTATTTAATGTTTTCGTAATGACTATATTATACAAAAATTATATAATAAATATTGTAATTTGTATTTAGGAAGAAGATATCGAACAGGAGTCAAAGCAGCCTGATAAAGATGTAAATGAATTTTCTGAAATAACTAATCAGTCAATAACCATTAATTTTACAACTTCAAATTTTCTCAAAGATGCTATATGTTCAGATGTAGGCATTTACCTTATGTATTTTATCATAACTCTAATTGGTGTATTAGTAGCTCGGAGATTTTATAGTGTCTAAATTATATTTATTGTAATTGATTTAAAGAAACCTTATTGTCTTAAAACGTTATTCCTTTTATCATTAAATTATCATTGAAAAATTTTCTTAAATATTATTTTATTTGTATTTTATATTCGTTGTTAAAGGAACATTGTTATGTATAATTTTCTATTTTATGATTTTTAATGCATTCATAGTAATAAAATTATAATTAAAACAAAAGATTGCATTCTCAGATCACCAGGTTTCCAAGATTTGAAATTCAAAAAAAATATTTATTAACAGTTAAATAATTAGTGACATTTGGTCATAAATTATGCCATATTTATGTAATTAAAACTAGGAACTAGGCTAAGAAGGGTTAATAACAAACCTCTTGCTTTTTAGGAAACCAAAATCAGATTTTTCACAATTTAAACTAATGAAAATATTAAATTGTTGATAAAAAAAAAATCTACTTAAATTTTTAAGCTAAACACGCTGCATTTTATATTTAAAAATAATTCAGTATTATTAGGTACTATCGGCTAAAAAAAAATTCTATTTTAGTTGATAAAACCTTTAAATTTTTAATTAAATTTTCATGCTCACCTAGACAAAATGTGTTGCAAAGCATTTACGACATTAGGTTTTATTAGGCGAATTTGTAATGATTTTAAATTAGTATCTTCTTTAAAAACTTTGTATTGTTCTTTTGTGAGGTCAATTTTAGAATATGGTTTGATTGTTTGGGATCCAGTTACTGCATGTGATATGATGCAAGTTAAACGAGTGCAACGTAAATTTTTAAACTTTGCGGCATATAAATTAAAAATTGATCATCCACCACATGATTATACACCAAAAATGCAACTATTCGGTTTGTTTACGTTAAATAACAGGAGACTTGAAGCTAATCTAACTTTCCTCAGGCGTCTTATTGATGGTCTTATAGACTCTCCTGAACTATTAGAGCTCATCAAATTTAAAGTTCCATCTTTTCACGCACGTCATTTAATTCTTTTTTCTGTACCTAAATGTAATACCAACTACCTAAAAAACCAGCCATTTTATAGAATGATGAGTATTGCTAATAAGGACCCATCAGCTTTATTATATTATTAATTGTTGTATTTTTGTATTCTATATTATTATTGTACATATAAGTTAAGTTTATTATACTGAAATTTGGTCATGTGCCGTATTGAGAATATAAATAAATATTTGAAATTACAAAGACGTGGGACTTGGGGGTGCTTCAGCACCCCCGTAGTTGCGCCACTGATGTAAGTATGTTTGTAACTCTCCATGCGCCACGTGTTATTATTCTCGCGTATTCCCGTCGTCTATGGCCTTGAGACTAGACTGGTCGTAACCCCACCCCGCTCACCATTTGACGACAAACACTATTATTGTTTAATTTTATTTTTGGTTTTCGCACCCGTACATGCGTACGTATCATCAATATTATATCTTTGGTTCCAGGGAAGAAGGGCTTAAGTCAATTTTTGGTGGTTATCAATACAAACAAATAAAATTTTGAAAATTGCTACAAGTGTAAATTAAATGTTTATATTCCTATATCAAATATTTTTATTATTAGTTTTTCATGTCAAACAAATGTGTAGTAATAGATATATGTACATATTTAGCAATTACAAGATAAATGCACTTGAGCCATTTTTATTTTTGAACTTTTGACATAAGTCATTACGATCATGACTTATGACTTTTAGATTCTATACGTTTTGACTTAACTTAGAATTTCAATAAATTCGTATCAAGGAAACAATAACAAAATACTAGGGTATAACCTTTACATTTATTTTTGTTGAAATAGAATCATAAAAAAAATTGTTTTTCTAGTAAAACCTTACTTTATTAAGATAAAGGTACATTATATTTCAATTAACTTATTCTAGTTCCAAGTTATCATAAGAGTTGTGTTAGTTAATTATTATTTAAGATTACAAAAAATGTTTTCAAAAATATAACAATACTATAAAATAATAAATTAAGGAATAATTAAATAACAATAAACTAATTATATCTAATTGCATGATTTTAATAAAAAAATCTATTAAATATAAAATCCTAAAATAAATTGCTAATGGAAAAAAAAATTAGAATTATGATTCTTTTTTGTCACTGTTTTCTTGTAGTTTCTTTTCAAATTTTTCAAATTCAACTTTAGTACGTACTTCAATTTCATCTTCTACTTGTTCAACTGCTACAACCTAAATAAATCTTTATTTGAATTTGGCTAAACATGTATAATTTTATACAGTGCATAATCATATGATATAATTAACCCTCAAATAAAAATATCAGTGGTCATTTCTAATGTTAAAAGATTAATTGCTTATTTTATATACATATATACAATATGCAGTGACAAAATTAATCATTCATTTTAAAAGTTAAGAACCTAACTAATTATTCTTTTAAAAAATTCTGAAAATAAATCTGCTGCCTTAATTTTATGTTCAGTAATAATTTTCAAAAATATTATAAATATTTTGTTATCATCTGCTTAACCTTATTTTATAATAAAAAAAAAACAAGATACTACTTCACTTCCCTTTATAAAAAGTTAACATAAGAATTTAAAAAAATTTAAGAGATAAACAATTTTAAAAATATGATAACATTTCAAGATAATCAAAATCATCTGAAATACTCATAACAGTTTTTATTTGAGGATTAACTGACAAAAATATTAATATTAGTTCCCAGCTAAGTATTTTTTAGAGATATAACTTCAACGTATCCTCTCTAATATACTTTTAATTTAAATGCCACTAGCTTTTGGACATTTAGCTCAATATATTGGCTTACCTCTGGTATATAAAATTGCAACATATTTTGTACTCCATTCTTAAGAGTAACCACTGAACTAGGACAGCTGCTACATGAACCTTGAAGTTTCAATTTAACAATTCCTGCATCATATCCCTTTACAATTTAAAACTTTTAAGTAACTTACTATACATTTCATATAAAATAATACTATTAATACCATAAACAAAATATCCCCTCCATCTTCTTGTACTGTTGGTCTAATTCGGCTGTCAAGAAGTTCTTTTATCATCATAACAGTTTCATCATCATCTTCTAGTAACTCTAAAAAGTATTAAAATTATTAAAATAACAAAATTATATTTTTATTCCAAGAATATACGGGTGTCACTGGTAGGCTTTGCATTAGTTAATACAGGTAAACCACTAGAAAAAAAATCCATAATAATAGCGTATATTTCAGGTTTAAGAACCATCCATTCAATTTCATCATCTACTTTTGTAACAGTTATATAGTCAGAACCAAAAAATACACTTTTAACTCCTTCGATTCGAAATAATAGTTTTGCTAATGGACTACATTGTGCCACAGTTGCATTTGGAAAATCCATAGTATGTCCTTTATCCAACACCTGCACAGACCAATTTATATTTTAAATATACAAATTATTGTGATTCATTAATGAAATAATTATAATAAACATACTGGCCTCAACACCTGGTAAAAATTTTACACTATTTGGATTTGGAGTATCTTGTGTTTGAATAAACATTAATCTTAATGGTACATTAAAAGGTATTTGTTTAATTTTAGTTAATGGTTTTGTATATTTTGCTAATGTATTTTGAGCTCTAAAAAATGAATAGTTATTTTATTTTTAATATTAGTTATTAGCTTACCAATTAAATTTTTATCACACAAATTATTACAAAATATATAAGCATATAAAATTTGAAATCATCCCATATACCTTAAAGTTCATTTGAAAATTTATATAACAAATTAAAAGTATATTAAATAATTCTGTAAATTTAACTTACCGAAAGAGCATAGGTATAAGATTAAAAATTGTCTTAAATCGGTACATAGTACTGTGCAAACTAAGTTGATTTTAACATAAAAAATACAAAAATTTTTTTTCGCAATTTATAAATTTCTTTATGTGAAGTTATCAGAAATTTCAATTTATATTTTTTCTTATCAAGTAGATGAAATTACCAAACCGGTGTGATTTTATGACTATTAGCATAGTAAAATGAATAAGAAGTATGCTCGATCAAATTAGTGCGCATGATAAGCCTAGGGGTAAAATATGTAACCAACAATAAACTCAACGTGACGTCACATGTAAATACATTGCGTTGTATATATTCTATATTAAGGGGCACTGTCCCGTTATAGTCAAGTATTTTAATGAACTTTTTTTAGTTAATTTCGGTTTTCAATTTCATTTATAATTTTTTTATTATTATTATTAACTTCAACTGTGTTGTAATACATCTTTATTGTATTATCTGCTACACTGTAGTAGTTTATAAACCAAGATTTAATTCGTTGATAAATCTAACCTGAGAAAAACTTTAACTGCATAGTAAAATTTTACTATGTTTAACTGCATATAAATAATTAAATATCAATTTATTGTGTAATTACTTACAGTAAGTATAAGTTGTTACATTATTTATAAAAAATGTAGTTTTAATGATTATTTAATAAATTTTTGAATTTTTTTTTTATTGCTCATTTCTCGTGATGCAAGTTTTTTTATTTATATTCCGTATTCTAAAATATATTTTTGTTCTAATAATGAAGTTTTTGACTTCATCATCCACCAAAAGATTATCTGAATTACATGCTTTTTTAGTTAATTCCAGTACCTCCTTTATTAAGCCTGGAGTTTTTCTAATATCATCTATTAAAAATTTAATCATAGGTATGTAAAAATATTTTATATTAACTGTATTTCTATAAGTACCATTTTCATTTAATTTTTTAAAAATAGTTCCTATGATTTTTCCTAAATTTATTAATGTAGGTGATGGTTGTCGTAATGTTCCAAATTATTTAACCTCTATGCAATCATTAGGTTCATTCAAATTATCTACAAGATTCGGATATTTGTATTCAAATTTAAAAGCTACATATCCCCATTAAATATGTTAGGCTGTCCTCAAATAAATCTGATGGATTATATTTATTATTAGCAGCACACTAAAAAAATATACAATGAAAAGGTACTAGAAATATTGAAATATTATATTATATAATTTTTATATTATAAAAATAAAATAAACATAATCTATATTTCAAGATTATATTATGCTATCTCTCTCATTCACTTAATAAGTAAAATAATTTCTATAAATAATGTTGATTGTTTTTTAAAATTCACATTAATTAATACTCATTCATTTTTTTAGAAAAAAAAAATGCTATGCGCTATGTTTTCCAAAAATGTACCATCTTAACTTAATGTAATATATTTAATATTAATTTCTTAAGTTAATGTGGTGTTAATTCAATGTTAAAACATAAAAAAATAAGTCTGCACACTAGTTAATATAGCTCACGTTTAATTAACGAGGTACAAAATCCTAATTTTTCATTAAAATACAAAAGTTACAACAAAAAAATACATAGAATCTAAAATAATAATCGTGGATACGATTAAATTTATTATAAAATATTATTGAATGCGTTGTTTTAAAGTAATTAATATAATTATTACTTAAAAATTATGTCTATCATATATATTATATCAGAATTATCAATTTAAAAATCGCCCGGTTTTAAAGTGCATTCGGAAGCGGTCGTATTTCAACGATCGTATACGAATGCACAAAAACACAAGGCGATGCACTTGCGCGTACTACGACGAAAATGCTTCTTATTCATTTTACTATGACTAATAGCAATACCTTTGTATCTATTTCAATTATCATAGATTAAATCTATGCAATTAGATACAAGATAAGGTTTCCATGCAGTTACCATATGTATATGGCCGACCCACACCGCTAGAGCGCGCTATTTGTTCCAAAAATATTTTATATTAGATGTTTCTTTTACTACATAAAAGCACATTATAACAAAAATAAAAATTCGTTTAACATACATAGAACTCTAATTACACCTGGAAGCCAAATTGCTGGATTATATCAGCAGCCGGTAAATAATAAATACTCGGGTGACCTGTTTATCTCTAATTATATTCTAAAAAGTGTATATTCCGGAGACCTGCGCTTGGGTTTTTGTATTTTTTTACAAAGTTTCTTGACGAGTTCAGGTAATATTTATATACTAAATAAAAGCTTATAAAATTTTCTATCGATTGGTATAGGTCGCAAGTGGTACTGGAGTGTCCAAATAATCCATATGAGAGAAATTGCTGGAGAATTGCGATGGTTCTAAATATGTGTTATAAGTAGTACACTAGATATTCCTATCCATGAAATATAGAGCTTTTTAACACTGGGTTTTATTATTTTATTACATTGTGGTAAACTGAATGTTCTAAGTCTAATTTGATTACGCGAATAAGTGTCTTCGAAAAGAGTCAAAATAATAACTATAATATAATAATCACCGATAGAACACTGACAACCGAATCAGCAGTCAGATCCCTTTTTATTAGGAATAGCAAACAGCACAACTGAACTCCAGCGGCAATTGAAAAACCCATCCCTCGGAATTTTGTCAAAAAGACAAAATAACCGAGAGCATATCAATAGTGTAAACGCTCACCGAGCTATTTATTGCTACGGTCGTTGATATTGCCCAGCAATATCATTCATATGGGTTACTTATACACTCAAGTACCTTGTAGGACTTATACCACTGGATATGAAATTTCTAAGCTTTTCGGGGGAATATAATTATTAAGTGAACTCCTCTTGAACCTTTGTCGAAATACAATATAGTATAATATAACATATTTTTTGGAAAAGTAACGCCCTCTAGCGGCGTGTATTGACAATATTTATGCGGTAATCACTGTTTGTATCTGATAATAGAGATGTTAAGTTCGTGAACGAATAGTTCATTTGAACTATTCACTTAGATACACTATTCTGAACTGTATCAGTACCTGTAACATAACAGTTCACAGTTCGAAAAAAATTGGTAGCAATGTATAAATGAAATAGTTCGCGAACTTCTTTCAAAATTCTCTGTGGTTCATTGTTAGAAATCCTGTAAATGGTTAATAGCTGTTTATAATTAGATAACAAATAAATTATACTGTTAAAATGTTACAGGGTTTTTAACAATTAAACAATAAAATAAATTCATACAATGTATAAATATTAGATTTGATTTCAGATTTAACTGGACTACTGGTCGATATATCCACCTTGGATTAGGTGATAATGATAACATGAGCCATGAGGGTATTGATAATAATTTTTTCTTAGTTTATGATGTTCAGGATAAGGTATAAGGTTAGTTTATAACTTAATTGCCCATACGTAGTGAGAACTACTACTGAACCACAGACTATATGAAAACAGATAGTTCACTTGGCCCGATAACAAAACGGTTTTTTGATTGGAGAAGTGAAATCAGTGCAACCATATGTATGAGCGCAAAAATTCTTTTAATTTATTTCATTATTAAATCTTCTGTAGCATAAATATTATGAAATTCCGTATATAAACATAATTATTGACATAAATTATTTTAATACATCATTAAATTAAGGTATTAAACCCATAATCCCTTATTTATGACTCAAAATCCCTAAATTAGTCATGAAAATTAAATTATTATCAGTTTTTATAATGTAAATTATTAACTACTTAAATTTGACTCGAGCAGTAACAATTGTTATTGTTAATGTTGTCAATGATCACATGTATCTTATTTCGTGTTATATTTGGTGCTTTCTTTCAAAATATCTCACTACCTCACCAGTATGCGATGCTCAGTAAAGTTTTGTCCAAGTACATATTCCTTCATGGATAAAAGCTTTTTTTCTTATCCTAAAGAAAACGATCGTTTGAAACTATGGATGAATAATTGTCAAACTAATCATTTGGCAGAGACTTTATCCAAAAAAAAATAATCTAGTAGTTTGCGCGGATCATTTTTACGATAAAATGTTTTTGAAAAAGACTACAAAAAATCGGCTGGTCATGATGCAGTACCTACAATATTTAGTGGTCAGTATTTTTTATCTTCGATACAAAGCTGAGAAGGTATTAATTTTACTATGATGTGTGTTTCTTTAATTTATTTAGTTTTTGTGTGTCTGTTACCTTGTTTTTTTCAGCTCTTACCGAACCGATTTCTTTCAACGATACGTCAAAAGATCACAAATCGTATCTAGTCGAAGACGTTACCCTCAAAAATTGAAAAATTTTCCTTCATTCCTCATAAGTGGGAGATATCTCCAAAATAATTACAATTTTAAAAATCAGTAATTTTTGACATTTTTTTCTTAACACTACCATAACTTTTTCAAAAATGAAAATTTTATATAGATGTTTGATGTCTTTACCTATTATTTGGTATATTTTTTTATAAATTTAACCCTTTACCAGCCCACAGTGGGGAATTCAAAATGACAACTTTTTCACAAAAAATTAACTTTTTCAACTTAACTTTTGAAAGTGTTCCGGAAATACTGACGCTCTTATATATATATTAAATTAAAGCTAATGTAATATACTTTATTTTGGGAAAAAAAAATTTCGGACTTTATTTTGTCTTCACGGTGAAAATGGCTATAATTTGGCCAAAAAATGGCTAACAATAATAATAATAATAAAAATATAAAATTTATTATATAATTTATATTATTATTTATTATATCTAAAATAATTCAAATTTTATAAAAAATGTAATACTATTAACAGTTTTACAAAAAATTACAGCTTCATATATTATAGGTAAAACTAACTAAACGTTGACAAAAAATTTATAAAATAATAAACTACACAAAATGTCAACTTTTATACAAATTAAACACAATATTCATAATGTCAGACAATATTTAAAAAACAAACATTTTTATTAAGACTAAATGTTATTTAAACAAAATAAGTATGCGAACAGTTATAATTAATTATTGTTCAAGTATTTAAAATGCAATAGTGTCACTAATTCCAATATCATTGATAATTTTTGTAACTGATAGAGGAATTGTACAATATTATTGTAAAATATTTGCACAATAATATGAAATTGTACAACAGTCTCTACTGCTTTGTCTTCTGCCCAATCAGAGAGCTTGATTTTTTTTTCTATTGTTCTCGGCTAAGTGAACTATCTGTTTTCATATAGTCTGTGACTGAACTGTGTTCTGCTGTACTAATAGTGATAAAATGAATAGTTCACTGCCAAACAATATCAGCATGATCAATAAAATTAGTGAACTTAAGAATAGTTCATTTGAACTATTCACTTGAATGAACTAATGAACTATTGACAGAAATGAACAAAACTTTCCATCTCTATCTGATAATAAATTGCTATTTCACACACATATGATTTATAAATTTCCTGATTCAATAATCAGTTTTGAAGTATAACTTATTATATCAATATATTTTTTGAGTGTCTGAAAGAGGAGTGTGCAACGTTGTGGAATTTATATTATGCGTTACAGTAAGAATAAAGTGTGCTTATAAACTGTTCTGATTTTCAGCTAATCTTAATCTTTACAAACTAATAATTAAAAAAGGTACTTTTCAAAACTTATCAACTAAGTAATACTCTTTTCGTACATTCTTTACTTATTTTTATAAAAATATTTATAAATTCAATTTTAATTTATTTATTAATAAATAAATTAAATTACCCTTTTTAAATTACCCCTAATCACTTTAAAATGATTTAATTTTTATATTTTGTGAAATTTCGGAGTGCATATAAATGTGAGCTCAATAATTATAAGCTGTAATATTTTTATCAAGCGCAACTCTAAAAGAAATTATTTTTGAATTTTTCTATTTATAGTAAAATGAGAGCTATTATTTTAAAAAAAGGATCTTTTTTATAAAATAAATGTCGTTTTTAGAATGTCCATTGCTCTTGTGGTCCTTCACTTTTGTACACTATCTGTAATTAATATATTAGTTTAGACCTAATTATTATTTTTAGTTTTTTTTTGTAGTCTGAATATTATATTCAAACGACATCTAGTTTATTATAATTTAACTGATATTGTTTTAATTTATTAAATAAATATAAAGCAAAATTCTTTTTTTTATTGATTTGAGTCATTTTTAAAAATTTGAAATTTGGCATACTCACAAAAAATGAGTGGGAATGCCTTTTGGACAAAAGCATTTTCAAAATTTAAGAGTGAAAGGGACAATTTTTGTATTATCAAAAAAAAAAAAAGATTTGTATTTCCACGTAAACAATTGAAGAAAAAATATTTAAATAAAAATTTAATAAAGTTAAAATTTGTACTTTATCTTGAGTACAAGTTTGAGGAGATATACACTAGTAAATTTCTATAATTATCCAGAATTAAGCATACATAAATATAATGATGTAGAACGGCATATTTTGCATAAAAAAATTTTAATTGGTCAGAGGATTGATTTTAATTTTCTGAAAACTGCTTCCCTACTTTTAAAAATTTGACTCTAGGTTTTTTTTATCTAACTCGTTTTGAAGATTTTATATAAGAATTCGTAAAAACTTTTAGAATTATATCGTTCTCTATAGCAGATGAAGTGAGGGTTTCTGACATTATTTGAATGTCTAATTACCGCAATTAGTTATGTAGAGTAATAATCGACTTTACTATTTATACATTTATATTATTATTAATTTTAAAACTAACATATTTTAAATGTTCGTTTTTTAACTATAAATCATTTTTAACTTGAATTCTGATTACTTATCTAATAATATTTGATGCGTTTATATAAATGTTTGTTATAGAATAAAAATAAAGAAAAATGATTTGAGCTCAAACCACTTCACATTAATTCACGAAAATAGGCAATTGTCGAGATAAAATGTTTTGAACTCTACCCCAATTAATGAAAAATTGTTTAATATAAACTTATCTTTATAGCAGTTTTACTTTAAAAAGACTGTTATTTAATTATAAAATCTATTCATAATTAATATTTCATAACATTAAGTTTTTTAACATGTCTAATTACCATAAATGTTTTTTAGTATGCGAAATATAAAATAAAAAATCCGCACACGAGTATTAAATACATATTCAAAAATATTTTTCTTCATCTGAATAAACTCCTTTATTTTAGGTAGCCACTTCTTTTACAAAACATTTAAATATGAAACCAAATGACTTTTAAGTAATAATTCATTTTAATCATATAATATTAAAATAAAAAATATAATAATAATAATTATATTAATAATAAAATAAAAGATTTGCCATTAAATACTCAGGTAATACAGAATAGTATTATTTAAAAAATAAAGATTTTTATCATTTCATAGTAAAATGTTTTTTGATCATAATTTATAATTAATTGTAAGTCAAATTATTTTTAAAAACCATCCTATGAATAACCAATAATATAATATAATACGGCCAAATTATTATGCAGTTAAAATGTATGATATATTAATCATTAATAACAACCATAGCATTTGAAAAATTAAGCTGTTCAATAGTCTCTACTTAAGTTTACATCGTAACAATTATATGATACCTAAATTAATAATTTTAATGAGACCAGTGATAACAAAATATGGAATGATAAACGAAGAAAAATCATATGGCAACAGTAAGAATTATTAACTTTGAACATTTTTGTAGACTTTTTTAATGATTACTAATTAGAATACAAAAAAAAAAAAATAAATAAATAAAAATATTATATAAATACAAAGTCATTGTGTCTTATTATTTGTCTAGTAATTCAAAAAAAAGATAATAATAATTATAGTAATATAATAACTATGCTGTTAAAGTTAAACCATGGCAACAGTCCTATTGAATAAAATTACATAATAAGCTATACATAAATAGCTTATAATACTAAAATTATTCATTAATAACTATATAAAAGTATATATAGTTGAAGAAAATATAAACTTAAAAAAATTAAAGAAATAAACATTGTTCCTAAGTCCATTTTCATTTTATTAAATGGCAACATGGAAGACTTAAAAAAGATATAAATTTTAAAAATTAACAGTTGAACACGAAAATAAAAATAATTTTGTAATAAAGTTATTAAAATCAAAACTTTATTTTCTTTGTACTATAAAAATAATAGAATAGGCGAATATAAGCCTATAATAATGTGGAGGAGCTTTTAAAATCCAGACTATAATAATATTCATAATCTATATACACATAAATAGATATAGATTATAAATCAATACATAATATTCTTTTTTCATAAAAAAATTAGTTGCAAATAATAATAATAATAATAATAATAGTAATAATAAAATGATAAAAAAAATGTATGTACAAAAATATGTTTGTTGTTCGTCCTCTGTTAGCAGCATTTTCAATATTCTATAGATACGTCGATTCGCCTAAAACCACCGGAAACACAATCACATTTGCATCAATGACGTCAGGTGCATTGTGTTCAAGCGACAGGTTTACAAAAGCCTAAGGGAGAGAATAAAGCGGCCTTCACCAATCATTATTCTAAAAAAATACTACACAACAATAATTAGGGATGACAGCGTTTTACTAAAACGTTCAAACAAGAATAAAAATATTAATTTTATCATACTTGCATTTTATAAAGAACATGTTCATTTTAAAAATTAGAGTATATACAAGAGAAGAGGGTTACTTTAACAAAAGTGATACACAAGCGACAATTTGTTCATGTGTATAAACTAATATTTTTCCACGAGCCTAGTGAGACAGGGAGATTAAGCGACAGCCTAGATGAGAAATATTCCAAGAAACAAACATTTTTCTTTCACTAATTGTGTATTTCAATGCTCTAATAAATGTTTTGTGTTAGTCACTGACCAGATTCCCAATCATCTTCTTCACATCCTGTGTCATCTTCTTCTGCTGTAGTACAACTGCTTGACTCACTTTCTGATAGTTCACCAACTATAGGTTCAGCAACATCAGAACGTTCAAATAACAGGCTAACATGAAAGTCTGGACTGAATAACTTATTTTGTTTGTCTTTATGGCCATCTAACTCCCATTTGTTCATATGAAGTGTTAATAGGCGATTATCACTAACATCCACATTGCCAATAGAATTCGTTCTACCATGCAATACAATAAAAAATTAATTACTTGAATTAAATCACCATCATAAAGATGATTAATAAATATCAGATGAATGAATTTTTTACTAATAACATAAATAAACCTCACCGCATTTTATTGTTTGGTAAACGAAGATTTGATGTATCATCTACACTATTTGTACGGGCTGTTTTTTCATGTTGGCTACAATTTTTATGTTCAGTATTGCCATTTTCAGTAACAAAAGGATCGCGAACAAAAAATGTATTAAACCAAAAATGAAAAAGCTTTTCCTAAAATAAAAATAAAGCACTATATTAATAATTTGAGATTAAAATTTAAGAATAGATGATTAAGACATGAAAATTTGTAATTACATGTTCAACAGTCAACAGATTATCTTATCAGTGTAGAATCAGATATTAACCTAACGTTTTTTATATTTATAAAACTAAATTATTTAGTCTTTTTTTTTTTTGTAGAATTGATTGCTGCAACAATTGAATTCTTAGATTTGGAAGTTATAACTTTAGTTAAGGTATATGTCAAGTTTATATGATTTAAAAAATTAATTAAACAAAAATAATTGGTTAAAAAAATACAATTTTCATTTTGATACATTCCTCTGAAACTACACTGATGATCTATGACAGATGGTTCTATATCTCTTTTCAAAGAAATTCTCATTTAATATGAAGAATATTCTAGAATCTTTGAATTTTATATTATTTATTGATGGAACATATTTATATATTTTGCCTTATATTACTTACTATAATGTTTATTATAGTTTTAAAAGTACTAATTTTGTTGAATTCTAAAATGAATTGTGAATTATAACAGATAAATATATAAATATCTTCAATTTGCGTAATAACAATATACTGAATAATTGCAGGCCAAGTGGTATAATCAACAAAAAAAAAATATTTTGGATTATTGGTTTAGTGTTAAAAAATCTTCCATTTTAGTAAAAAAAATTGTTATTTAAGTATTTCATACATCAGAGAGGCTCAATATCAGTCAATGCATTAAATAAAATATCAGTTAATCTTTTATTATTTAATGTGACCATTTTAATTAAAATACTATAGAAAATAATAATATATTTATAGAAAGTTAAACCTTTTTTTTCATTTTATGCTTATTATAGCATTCAACTTTTACATCACCACGGACTTGAGTTGTTTGAGTTAAACAAATTGTAACATCAGAATCAGTTCGTCGTATATCTTGTATATTAGAAGAGTAAACTTTCCTTATCTTAGAACTATCTGCACTTGTCCATTCTGATATAACTATGCGAATACCTAAAAAAAAGCAAGATTTTTATTTTATAATTAATAAATTATTGAATTTATCAACTTACATGTTTGACCAGAGTTGAACATTGTGGGCACTGGATTTAATTTTATTTCTTTAATACTTAAGACAACAGGCTTATAATTCAAATTCTCTTGGACCAACATGGAATAATAGTTGACATAACGCCTTTGGCTAGGAATGGTCACACCCTAAAACATAAAAATATTAACTCAAACAATGGAGATTAAAAAAACATAATATTAAATCTAAATACCTATTAAAGATACAATAAGATAAATTACTTACTTTTTCATCAAATGTTCTTTTTTGACCATAATAATTAAGTGCATCTTTAGCAGTTATAAAACGTCTACTATGAATCAGATAACAACATATCATTACACCAGTTCGCCCCTGTAGATCATAAGCAAAACAAGAAAAGTTTTAAGCCATCGAGTAGTTGAAATATATTCAGTAAATAAAACATGAATTACTTATAATTTTACCTTTCCTGCTTTACAATGAACAGCAGCAACATTTCTACTATCATTTAAAAGCCATTGATGTACATCTTCACAAAACGGTCTTATCACTTCAATACTTGGAGGATTATGATCTTGAAATGGATATGTAACCACACGATGATGAAATTTTCGTGGATCATATGATCGTTCAGAACACCTAAATTCATAAATTAAAAAAAATTAGTTTTTAAACTAGCATTTCTTGAATTTTATTTTGAATAATACAGAAAATACCATGAAAAATAATTATGTGATAGAAAAAATGAGAGTATCTTTTCATTAATAATTTGTTGGTAAGAAAGTATTTAAAATTGAAAATAGTTACATAAAAAACCTAGATTTTTAAGGAAATAAAAATGTTTTCCTAGAAATATACAATCTTGAAATACACAACTAAGAGTTAGTCAAAATAAAATTATAAGTAGTGGATTCATATCTGTGTATCGAAATATAAAAAATAACTTACAAGTTGTATATTTTGTAGTGATGGGGATGTTTCTGATCAAGGAGTCTACTAACATCATCTATATGGTTCCGATAAACTACACCTTCTAAATTTTCAGCTGGAAATCCCATAGCTATCACATTTTCTAAAATGTCTAAAGTATTAATTTTAAGAAAAAAACTTGTAACAAAAAAGTTTTAAATTTAACTATATTTTTAAAAATGGAGTAAGTAAGTAAATTAAAAATTAAATCTAATATTTAACATAACAAAATGAAAAATTTTTAATTATCTGAAAAGGATACAAGTTAAATCAAGATTAAAACCATCTTCTGTATATCTTTTTCTCTGTTTGCTGACCAGCTTTTTAATTGGATTAGTCATTTTTATATTAGGGATGGCCATTCTATTACGGATCACTGAGCTATGCACCAGATCCGTTGATTGTTCGTCCATGGCCCTGTTTTTCACGATTAGTTATGTGCATCGTATACTGGACTGTTATAAATTAACAATAGTTAAAAATCATTACTGATAAATTATCATTAGAGACAAAGTATAAGATATTTTGGTAAAAATATTCTTACCTCAGTGTCAAGTCCAGAATAAAACTACAGCTTCTATCAACAATAAATTACATAAGTTATCGATAAGCTGATCATAATGTATATATGATGTGATTGATTAATGATGATAATTTATAACTGGAAACTCCAGAGATGAAAAGGGGCAACGCGACAGAAGAGGGGAAAAAGAAACGAAATAAAAAATAAAAACTTATAACATTTTTTCCATCAAAAAAAAGAAACAAAGAACTGGAAAGCTTACACCGTAACAGTCTGGTAAACTATAAAATACACAATCAAGCAATGTGACCAACCGATTTCATGGAATATTTATTAAATCAAAGAGTATATGAATATCAAGATAAAATAAGAAATTTACTTAGTATAATTAAAAAAATTAAAGTTTTGGATGTTATGATTATTAAATTTTTAAACTGAATATTTGATTAGGATTGTCTAGATAAATATTTTTTCTTTAAAAGATTTTAAATAAAAATTGGTAAGTTTTTATTATTTATCTGAAGTACACAAGCTAATTTAATAGCACACTCTATGGGTTCCAATTGAAATTTTAGTGCAAGTTTTTAAAATAATAAATAAGAATACGTAAATTTTTACAACATTTCAACAACGATTACAATTATAATTATTTTTGATAGGAAAACAACGATTATGATCATTTTTCAATTAAGATATGCCAAGTAGCTGTTATAGCTGAAAAATATTAAATAATACTTGCTTACTTATTTATTACAAAAAATTGAAATTATCCGTAATCAGTTTAGAATATACAGATTTTTTTTGGGAGGGTTCATAGTCTGAAATTTTTTTTCTCCACAATTTTATAAAATAGTTAGGTAAAAACAGTTTATAAGCAAATAAAAATATGTTTTACTCAATATTTGACTAAATATCACGACAAATTAAAAAAATAGTTGTATTATCATTGTGACTTTAAAATAGACAGGGGAAGCTATAAAAAGCCAAGTAATTCAAACCCCCTACGAAGTATATCTAGATTCAACGTTGTCTGAAATAATTAATATATGTTTCTATCATCTCATAATAACCAAAAAATGTATTAAATACAAAACATAAAGTAAAACCTACTCAATAACTAACATCATTAATATTTATTTAGCATGTGTTCAGTGATAAATTTATAATTGTATATAGTATTCTATTGGCAAATTGCGTCTACACTGATTTTATTATTTTTATTTGACTAGCTTCATTTGTACTGTAGGAAGACTTTTTACGCTTTCTATATTCATTGCTGCGTTGAGCATGCGTTCATATTGCTTTACTATACTTATAATAGACAGGTAGGATAACCTACATGCCCAAATCATGATGTTTTTAACCTTCTTTTATAAACTGAATACGATAAATTTATATCAATGTATGTTTCACTTGAGTATAATGTTATATAAATCCAGGAGTGACCGATGAGGTGATTTCAAAAGATGACTGTTCCACGGCCAAAATTTATCAATGAAGCTTAATTATATTTAGTTGGTAATGTTTTCAATAATTAAAATTTTTTTCTATTTTTTTATTTGAAAAATGTATCTTCAAAATAGAAAATGTTAAAACCATAGTAGTATCAGGAGTCCCTTGAACAGTCACTTCACTTCAATATTCTTAATTAGGTATTTCGTGTTCCTAAATGTTTTCACAAGCGGTAAAGTTGACAAAGCAATATTTGAGGTTTCCTACAGTCATTTATGAGGGAAGATTGATAATTCACACCAAATTTTTATATATATAAAAAAAGCTTTATTTGGTCTACCAAAATACAAGAGACGCGCCGATATACCCAAGTTATAAAAATTAAATTACATATCAAGTCAATACTTTTTTCAACATTTTTAATGTTTTTACAACTATTATGAAAAAATTGATAATAGTAATATCTATAACTAATCTATATAACATAATACTTATCTTATATTTTCTGTGATACTACTATCACTTCGATGTAAAAAATATTATAGTTAAATTACGAACTGAGATAAAACGGACGGGCCCGTTTTGGTCGGCGGGAACAGAGAGTGCAATTCAGTTTTGTTATAATAATTCCGTATTGAGAGGAATATTTGGATAGTAGTGAGCTCTAGCGATGAACACGTTTTCACAATACATTTTAAAAATGGAATGGATACACTAGTAAAATTGTAGATGGCGCTGTTACTTCAAAATTTCTTCATCTTCAGGAAATATATAATATAAATGGATAAAGCCTCGTGTTAAGTCCATGTTATCATGTTATTCTTGAATGTTATCTTCGTTTGTGGTTATAATAAATAATTTGTAAATCACCGTATACTTATAGTTTCAAATTATTTAAATAATTTGAAATAACCAGGAAAAGAAATTCTAATGATTGAAAACAATATGGATTATACCGAAGTTCAGTATAGGCTAGCTACACTAAAGGAATTTGAACATAATTTAAATGACCGATTAGATAAACTAACAAATTTTGTTGATATAATTGGATGGTCATGGGATGAAATACCCGAGATTGTAATTACACTTTACCATTTTAAAATCTTAATATATTGTGATTTGATACATCTTTATTTTAGAATGACTCAATGGTGGAATGCCCTTTAATTAAAGAACATAAAATACATCCATCTAAATTTGATGTTCATTATGAAGTATGCAAACTAAAACGTCAAGGTTATGACAAATCAATTAAATTGTACCCAGAACTTGGTTGTTATAATTTATTCAATCAAACTCTTCGCTTTGGTAAATGTGAAATTTGTTAATGTGATAGTATATATATACAATACAAATAATAAAATCTTGATCTTATATTTAAGACATTCTAAACATTGTTATGAACCTTAGATTATTCTATAAGGAAAAGATGATTTTAATCTAATACTCTCCTTATTTTTACTTAATAATAGAATCGAATTAGATTTATTTTTACAATATTATCACTTACCCATAATCATTTATTTTTAGTTTAAACATTAACATGTTAATATAAGTGTGAATATTATACATAAATAATTAATTACTAGATAAACTTTGAATCTTGTTGTCTTAATTTATGATATTATATTTTTCTTAAGCTACCTTAGCACTTAAAATTCTTTCCACCTTATAAACTATGTGTGAAAACTTAAGTTATTACCAAAAACAGGTTCCTCTCATTTCTTTTTTTTTATTTATAAAAACCAAATAGATATCTTTAGTAGATCATCTTTTCCTTTTTTGGCGCTCATCAATTTGAAGATATGTAGATGGCATCCAAGTAAATTAATGTAGCCATAACAGATATAGTTTGATACAATTTTCTTAACACTGTTAGCCTCTATGCTTATGTATCTGATCCTATCAGTCAAGTTTGTGATCTCTGATTCATTGGTACATTGGTATAATAGATTGTTATAGACTTCTGACATAATAACTGTCTCTTATATTGAAAGGTTTTTTTTATTACTGTATTACTTTTTTAATATGTTCTCAAAAAGTGACATACTTATCCAGCTGAATGCCTAAATATCATTGAATGTTTAACTGAAATTTGAAATCTGTGATAGTTCAAGGAACGATACCTATATATAATCTTCTCCTATATCAATTAGTTATGTTATATTAAGAAAATATATTAATTTTTTTAATAATGTCATTAATTAAAGAAGTATAAAAATAATAAACGAGAAAAAATTTTTTTATCTCAATTAAAACTATCCAAATTCAATCAGAATGGGTTTTCCTACTGTTTAAAAATACTATTATATAAATAGAAGAAGTAGTTAATTTAATTTGAAGGGACATTTAAGATTTACTATATGATATGTTAAATGAGATATGTTTAAAGTATTTTTGTATTTAAAAATTTCAGTTTGTTAAACTTAGTTTATAGAAAAGATTTTTTTTGCCTAATGAATTCATTTATTCATAATATATACTTTATAAAATCTGCTATCTGAAGCAATGGTCTCCTGTGACTACTTTTAAAAACATTTCTAGACACAACACAGATTTTTTCTCAATTCTCACAAAATTGATTTCTTTCAATGATACATCAAAAGATTACAAATTGTATCTAGTCAAAGATATTACCCACAAAACGTCCCTCTTTCCCTGTAAATGGGAGGAATTTCCCAAAAAGTTGCAATTTTAAAAATCAGTAATTTTTTTATTTTTTATACTTGAAATTTCCATAGATTTTTTAAGATTTAATGAATAAAAACAATTTTTTTTAGATATTTATCTATCATTTAGTATATTTTATTGAAAATCTGATCTTTTATCTGCCCACAATATATTCAAAATAGCAACTTTTCCACAAAAAATTAACTTAAAAATTCAACTTAACATTTGAAAAAGTTCTGGAAGTTCTGACACACACACACATATATATATATTAAATTAAAGCTTATGTAATATGCTTTAATTTGAAAAAAAAAGAAATTTGTCCCTATGACATCTTCTATGTGTGAATGACTACCAAAGTTAAAAATAGACCAGTTTTGTGTTAAAATTCTTAATTTAAAACTTTTGACTTTATATTGCTATAACTTTTTGAAAACTATGCATCAATACAAAGTTTTTTTCATAAATAATTTATATATACTTCTGGACTAGTCTTCATGGTGAAAACAAACATTTAAGTTAAAAAAAAAGTGCATTTTTTGTTCATAAATTCAAAAATGTTTAATAAATTGTTCTATAAAAACTTATTTAAAAGTTTTTTTTAAGAAATTTGTGAAATTTGCATTGACATATTATGAAAGGGGTGGTTGGGTGATCATTCCCCCTCTATTTATATTTTTTTAAATATTTATTTAGACTTTTAATCTGTATATCCTTTTATTTTAATTTTAAAATACCTAGGTAATAGTAATAGTAATAAGATCACTGATTATCATAAAAAATTATATGAATCTAATTGACTTAGTATATAAAGTGAAACCTATTTTAAATTTTTGTTTTTAAGTTGAGAAAAACAACTATGAAATTTTGAACTAGCTTAAATTATTCTTTTTATCCACCCACAAATATAATGTATAATTGCCATATTAGGAACACTTATGTCTTTTACGCTCAGTGTACAAAGTTTGAACTCCGCCTATCAAAATACATTTTTTTCTTTTTGAATTGGAAAAAATTCAAAATATGTTAGATTTTTATCTCATTTAGATTGAATAAATTCAATGAATATCAAGGACCCCATCACTATAGTCTCCCATTGTGAAAATAAATTACTTACTTACATTAAAATTATTTTACTATATAGTTTTTAGTTTGTGTCCGTCATTCATTTTTCTTAACTTTTATTTGACTATTTTTTTTGTAATGATACAACAAATGATTACACATTGTATATTATTTAAGATATTACCCTTAAAAACTGAAAAAAATTTTCCCTTTATCAATTAAAAAGTTACTTTGATCAATTTTTCTTTATAAACAATTTAAATCATTTATTTCTAATGTGTTTTAAATTATTTATTGTTGAATTTGGTTTTATATGATAATAGGTTTCAACTAAAAAGTTAAATAATTTTACTTTATTATGAACTTAATTCTTGACTCTACTACCAGTCTATTGTATTACAATTTTTTTAATAACATGATACTGAATAGATTGTTTCTAAAAAAATTATTTTGGGTTTCACCTTAATTAATCAATAGATTTTCCAATTATAATAAATTTTTGTAATATGCTCAATTGAGTAGATTTTTAGTTTTAATGTGAAGGTAAGGTATCGGTATTGTGATGATGTGCGCTTTTTTTTGTCTGTCCATAAAATTTCTCAGTTCTCACTGAACTAATTTTAATGATCAATACGTCAAAAGAATCTGATTTTTTCCTAGTTGAACTTATAGTCATCAAATATTGGAAAAAACTTCTTTGTTTTAGAAATTTAGACAAATAACTCTAAATTACGCTACTATAAAAAACGGCATTTTCAATAAAAATGTTCTGCATTTCTTATATCATAATACTCAAATTATGTCTTATGATAGTAATTTCAATCACTTTCATGTATCATGACATACAGTTTCAACTATGTCACATCCATACTATGGCACGACCTCACCGTGCTACTATTTTTTTATAAAATGTTTTTTTTTAGAGAAGGGGTAGAAAAAATAAAGATGGCAACCTCAAACAATTTAGTTGTACCAATAAATACGCCATTAGTTGAGCTATTTTTATGTTATATAATTTGAACATTTATTATTAGTGATTCAAGATAGTATTTAGTTTATATGATTAATAATTGAACAGGCTGTTTAACATCCTGTTCCAAGAATCATGATATAAAATATCCAAACGGAAAAAATATAAAAGTACAAAATACTCACAATATATTAAACATTAAAAAGAACAATAAATAATAAAATTACATAAAAACTATATTTAATTAAATATTTCTTATGAAATTGACATTGTTTTTAAAAAATGATTGATACTCCTCTTTCCAAAATTTTATTTGATATGTAAATTAATAAGTTTAATAGTACTTCATAATAATTTTTCAAAGTGGTTTACCAATATTTTATTGTGCATTTATTAGCCTATAATAATTTTTTTTTCATTATTCATTATGCAAATTCAAAAAATAATTTTAAATAATCCAAAATAATTAGATTTATTAATAATTATTATTTTAAAATTTATGTTAATAATTTGTTTGTAAATTGTCTCTTAAGTAATTTTATTAATTTAACTTTAAACCTTATGTTATAGATGACCACATGCAATTGGAAGTTATTAAAAAATGTCATCTTGAGTCTAATTTTTCTTTAAGTAAGTTCAATTTTATATGAGAATTTTTATAATAGTGTTTTAACTATACAATTTTTTAGGTCAATCAATGTAAATGATAAGTGATCATTTTATATAAACTTATTGTTTCAAAATAAGTTTTTAATATCCTTTTATTATATTGCATAAATGTGTATCCTTTTAAGAATCTATCTATGTTTTAAATTTGTTTCAAATTCTTATTGTAATTTTATGTTTAAATTTCAAAAGCTTCTCTTTATACAAGAATAAATTAAAAATATACAGCAGAGTACTACAAAGTTAAAATTATATAAAATTTGTATATAAGACAGGAATAGCATTGTAAACTTTCATTTACGTTGAATACTTTTTTAACACATAGGCAACATCTATTTTTAATTGCAATACATTAGTGCGTCAAGCCAAGTTCTTGAAAATGCTAGTGTATTTTTACAAAACAAACTAATTTTAACCCTTGTATCTCATTTTTCTCTTAAGATTGGCTTTTGAAATATAAAATATAGGTTAGGACCTAGTAACTTCGAACACTGTAAAAAATTAAGTAATAAATGTTAAATCATTTAAAAATTGGAGCCTTTCAAAATTTCCTTCTTGTTACTCACTCACTCAATCACATCATCAAAATTACAAGTCACTTCTTGTATAGGTTAAGATGAGAAATTTGGAACAAAATTAGATTATACAATGTAAGTAAAGGGAAAAATCAGAAAATTGTTATTTTCTCAAAATAGACTTAGTTATAGGTTGGAACATCATTTGAGAGCAGAAAGGTGGGCAGTTTCCCATTTTGATTTTTTTATGGTTCATGAAAATTATATATTTTGTTAGCTTAAGCCATCAAAAAAGAATGATATTCTAAATAAAAACCTATCTGTGAAAAAGAGTCAAATATCATCCTCTTCCCTCTCAAAAATATCTATCGAAGTAGTGATGTCTACTTTGTAGCCAAGTTTGCTCTTTCTTTAGTTTATAAACTTCAATCCTATTTTCATGAATAACATTGTTCCCATCTTTATTTTTCTTAATACTTGGGCAGTTTCTGTCCAAATAAATACTGGATTATTAAGAGATTATGTGATCAATGGGAAGTAGGAAACTAAGAAGAAAAGAAAAATACTTAGATTACGTCACAGGAATCATTGAAAATTGTTAGAAATCTGTTTAATGCTTTACTCAAAAACTGACTAAGTATTTAGCAATACAAATAAAGGAACAATGTTGCTCAAGAAAGTAGGATTAAAGTTTAGGAACTAAAGAAAAAACAAACTTAGCCACAAAGTAAATATTATTATTTTATAGATGAACTTTTTTAGGAGGGAGGAAGTTGGAATTTGACCCTTTTTTACAGTTAGGTTTATGATGAGGATAATAATTTGTGTCATTAAATTTAATTTTAATTAAAATAATATTTTTTATTTTAGACATTAAGTCAGACTTTAGGGGTGTCTCTCAGAGTATACAACAATATGTGTGTGATTTTACTCCAGATGAACGTAGAATTTTGTATAATCATGCTGTAAGTAGTACAAAAAAGCCTAGTAATGAAGGTGCATGTAGTGTTTTAATTGAGTGAGTATATAATGATGAATTTAGATTATTGAGTTTAAAATATATTTAATTTTAGAACTTTTAGCCTGTAGAGGTTTAGGACATTAAAACTTTATAATCTTAGAACTGTTATATTGTAGCATTAATTTATTAAATAAGTTAATGCTTCTTCAATTTATTAAAATTTTTAGTAAAACGGCTAATGCATTTTTTTAAGTGAAACTGTAATTTGATTGTAGAAAAGTTGAATTAACATTGTTAGATAAATACATCAGTTATTTCAGAAACAACATAAAACAAATCATAAATTAAAATTTTAAATATATATATATATATTTATAATAGTTACTTTATTTGGTATATTAGATATATACAAGTATGGATAGTTAGTATTTACGTTAAGTTATGCAAATATTTGTATTTTAATGAATACTTCTTTTAAACTCTCCAAAAGACGATTATACACTTGGAAATTTTCTGCTGACACGAAAATGCATGTGATGCGGAATCAAATAGATTACATTTTAATTAACAAAAGATATAAGAATGCAATTGAAACGGTCAAATCATATCCAGGAGCAGATGTCCCTTCAGATCATAATTTATTACTAACGAAACTCAAGATTAGACTTAAAAAGATAAAGCAACCTACTCGAAAAATTAAACTTAACTTAGAAACCTTGACAGATGGGAAAATACAAGAAGAACTAATGACAGATATTGAATATAAAATAGAATGGTCACAAATTAATACAGTAAATGGTAAATTGGAAGTCAATATTTAAAAAACATGACAATCATTTAAGAAGTCCATTACAGAAATAGCCAAAAGTAAATTGGAACAGAATATAAGCACCAAGAAAAAGCCATGGATTACTGACAAGATTCGGAACTTAATGAATGAAAGAAGAAAACTTAAAAATGTAAATGATCAACAATATAAACAAATTCATAGACAAATAAAAAGAGAAATACAGCTTGCAAAGGAAGAACACTACGCAAATGAATGCAAAGAAATAGAAAATTATGTGAGAGTGGGTGATAGCTTCAATGTACATAAAAAGATTAAAGAAGCAGTCAGAATGGTATCAAAAGCACCAGAAAGCATCTTAACAGATTTGGAAGGAAATTTAATAACAACCTTGGAGGATAAACTCGAAAGGTGGTAACAATATTTAGAAAAAGAACTTTTCCACAATGTACGGTCAGAAAGGCACGAAATAACATTTAATGATAACGGACCACCAATATTGGTGATTGAAGTGCAGAAAGCCATAAGCAACTCAAAAAACAGGAAAGCAGAGGGCCCAGATAAATTACCAACAGAATTACTAAAGACCTTGACCAATTCCATCTGTATAACTCGCTTAACAGGGTTGTTTAATGCTATCTACGATACAGGCTACATACTAAATGATTGGCTACACTCCACATTTGTCGCAATACACAAAAAGGCAAATGCAAAGAAGTGTAATGAATATAGAACAATTAGTCTTATGTGCATTACACTAAAAATATTTTTAAAAATTATTCACACCAGAATTACAAAAAAGCGGAAGAATATATGAGTTAAGGACAATTTGGCTTCCGTAATGGTCTTAGAACTAGGGAGGCTTTATTTAGCATCCAAATACTGGTTCAACGATGCCGAGATGTCAACCAATAGGTTTATTTATGCTTCATAGATTTCGAGAAAGCTTTTGACATGGTGAGACATGAAAGACTGTTTGAAGTTTTGCGAAAAATTGGTATAGATGGAAAAGATCTACAATTCATAACGAATTTGTATTGGTATCAGCAAGCTAATATTAGAATAAATAACACACTTTCTAATGAATTTAAAATTCGAAGAGGAGTTCGACAAGGGTGTATTCTTTTGCCATTTCTTTTTAATCTATATTTGGAAGAAATAATGTCGGAGGCCTTGGAAGAGGCAGAGGAGGGCATTGATATAAACGCGAAAATTATAAATAACTTGAGATATGCAGATGACACCGTGTTGATAGCTGGCAGCATCGAAGTCCTGCAAAAGATATTGGACAGATTAGTAACAGCCAGTGAAAACTTAGGCCTACATTTAAATGACCAAAAAACCAAATATATGATAATCGATAAGGAACAAAGTCCGATAAGTGTGCTTAGACTTAACAATGTCCCCTTAGATAGAGTACATAAAATTACTTATCTTGGACAATTATTGATAGATAACTGAGATCATTTGTACGAAATAAAATGTCGTATAGAGAAAGCAAGGGCTGCTTTTATGACAATGAGAAGTATATTCTGTAGTCATCAGCTAAGCATGAATCTCCGAGTTAGAATGATTCATTGCTATGTATTTACCGTACTTTTTTATGGAGTAGAGACTTGGACTGTATCCAAAGTTTCGATCAACCGAATCCAATCGTTTGAGATGTGGATATACCGTAGAATATTAAAAATTAGTTGGTGCGATAATATAACGAATGAACAAGGATCTGGAATTAGTGGCAACAATAAAAACGTGTAAACTTCAATACTTGTGGACATTTTATGCGGCATCCAGAAAAATATAATCTACTACAATTAATAATCCAAGGTAAAATAGTTGGAAGAAGGAACCGTGGAAGACCTCAAATTTCTTGGATGGACAACCTCCGAAAGTGGTTCAATACATCTACGAGCTCTCTATTCAGAGCAGCCGTTGATAGAGACCAAATAACTAACATAATTGCCAACATTCGTTAACGAATACGGCACTCAAAGAAGAAGATGCAAATATTAATTAGTATGAATTATTTACATTAAAGGATATCTCTTATTAGAAATGCCTTATGAATAAAAATTTTTAGAGTGGTATCAAATACAAACTCCTCCGCTGAGCATTAAAACCCTCAATATGCCACTGATCATATGCAGACGATATATTATTGACCAGATTTTTGAGAATATAGTGTACTTCAGCTTGTGATGTAAGTTTTGAGGGTAAAAACAAAGATACAGGAGAATATGTAAAAATTATAATTGATTCATGTTACTTGGCTGATAGTGAAATGTTGAAAGGTAACTATCCTTAAAACTTTAAGGATAGTTACCTCGATAAAAGTTTAGCTTTTTCCTTTTAATAACAGCAATTGTATTAAATTGTCGGTGGAGGATATGAGTTGGAGTTTTGACTTTGAAAATAGATTTGGTTTTTTTTCCAGTCTTTAAGTATTAGTGATATACTAATACTTAAAGAAAGAGTTTGAAGCTAAGACTAGTGTCGTAACACACAACAAAACATAACAGGGAAGACAGGTAGGGATGTGTAGTGTGTACAAAGATGATGATGAGTCTGCTGCTTGGGTATTAAAACATGTGTGATCATACAGCAGTTACCATGCTCGACTGATACTCCGGATTAGCTGTGGGTGTCAAAAGGCCATTATTACAGGAAGGGAATAAGGGTAACACCTAGGTATGAGGTGCAAACTAAGTGGAAAACACAAGTACTTCAAAGAGAGAATGGGGTAGCCGAATATGAGGTGCAGGCGAAGTGCAAGACACAAGTACTCTGAAATGTCAAGGACGAGAGTAGGTAGGTGAAAAAGGAAAAACAAAGACTTGACTTTATGCAGTAAACCGGACAGCGACAACCGAGAACTGAGACTGATGAATGACACAAAGCATTGGAATCGACTGACAATAATGGCCAGGCCTTTTGGGTTTAAATAGTAATTCGGACAATTGGGAATTTTGCAATAAATATTAATTGTCAATTCATCAGTCTCTAGAAGCGGATGCGCTGTCTGTATTTTATTATAATAATTTTAGCTTTGATGCGAAGCTGAGAAGGTATTAATTTTACTATATTGTGTTTTTTTTTTGTGTGCCTGTATACGCTCAATCTCAGCTCTCGCTGGACCGATTTTGATGAATAATATGTCAAAAGATCACAAATCGTATCTAGTCGAAAACATTACACTCAAAATTTGAAAAAAATTCCGTCGTTCCCCGTAAACGGGGGAAATCCCCCAAAAAATTACAAATTTAGAAATTGCTTATTTTCGACATTTTTTCAATTTTTTTTACTTAAAATTGCCACAACTTTTTTAAAAATGACCGAATCAATATATATATTTTTTTATAAATACCTTAGATATTTACCTATCATTTTATACATTTTTGTGAACATTTGACCCTTTACCAGCCCACAGGGGGGGATTCAAAATAACAACTTTTTCACAAAAAATTAACTTTTTCAACTTAAGTTTTGAAAATGTTCCGGAAAGACTGACACTTTTATATATATCTTAAATTAAAGCTTATGTAAAATACTTTAATTTGAAAAAACAAATTTGACCTCTGGATTTGTCTTCATAGTAAAAATGACTACCGTATTCAAAAATATGCTATTTTTGTGTTAAAATTCCGGGTTTTGTATTTCATTTTATTTTAAAGTACCTGACAAGGGGAGTACACTGATTTTCATAAATATTATATAAATAATATTGATATAGCATAGAAAGTTAAACTTATGTAAATTTTTTTGCTTTTTTGAAGTCGAGAAAAATAACTTTGAAATTTGAACTAGCTTAATAGCAATTTTTTTCAACCGACGTTATTGACGTACGGTTTCCGAGTCGGCAATAATTGTGTTTAACGTGCTTGGGGAACTAGGTTCCAACCCGCGTATGGCAAGGAATTTTTTGCATTTTTTCTTAATTCTTCTTAAGTTAGAATAAATTTTCAACTGCTTTGATTTTTATCTCATTTAGATTCAATAACTTCAATAAAGATCAAGAATCCCATCACTGTAGTCGCCACTCGCGAGATGAAATTTCTTATTCATATTAAAATTATTTTACTATATTTTAAGTTTTAGCTTCGATGCAAAGTTGAGAAGATTTTTTTTTGTGATAATCATTTATTTTCTCTGCTCTAACTTGACCTACTTTCTTCAACGATACGTCAAATGACTACAATTCGTATCTAGTTGAAGATATTACCCTCAAAAATTGAAAAAAAATTCTAATTTATCAATTAAACAGTTATTTATC